CTTAAAAATGGTTTCTATATGATGAAATGGAACAAAAAAACTCCTCACATACTTGAAATAGAGGGCGAGATCAGTGGCAATAATGCAGACTTCAAAGAGATGCTGCACTGTTTCAAACTGACGCTTCTGAAGGTTTTGGAAGATGTTCAGGTTCTGTGATCGAAAAAAGTGAGAAAACACCAAAAAAAGAGTATGAAAAACATTTGCCATTAGATTTGTTTTTGTCTATGTCAAACCACAACTACTGTCAATCACATACATGTAAAGCTATAAGCACCCACCTCATTATCCATCAGGGTCTTACTGTACTCAAGATGATGCCGCTCCATTACTGAGGAGCTGTGCAGTTTCGCCAGTGGGAGACTGACTCCTACATAATAGTCCAACAGAACAACATTCCAAATGTTTTAGTTTGTTTTATTATGTCTTTTTCAGTTTTCACCATCAATTTAATACCATTGATTTGACTTAAAAAATGATGATGATCTGTCTGGTACAGATTGTTGGTTCCTCTGTGGTCAATATCGTGGCAGAATCCAGCAGCGACCATGGCAAAGACATCAAGATCGGTGTAATACTTCTTCAGTTTACCTGTCTGTAAAGGAACAAAGAGGTCAACCCTGCATTGTAATAGAAAATCCACTTTGTAATTAACAAAATAGAATTTTGGTGCGAGAAATGTGCCTCACTAGAAGCAGAGAGAACATGGTTTGTCCAACGTTGAAACCGTGCCTCCAGTTGTGGTAGGTGACGTCACGGTATCCCCTCTGAACAGTGAACATCCATCGTGTCAGGGTCTGCAAAAACAAAACAGAGCTGCGATCAATCTTTAGATTTACATTGTCCAAAACTATTTCAGAACACATCTGTATCTTTTAGGGTTACATAGTGACTGATATGGTCCAAAGTCATGCAGCCCAAAGGAAAATACTGGTTTAAATTGAAATGTAATCTCTCTGAATTCATAACGCACATATGTTGGTGTGTTGTGTGTTTCAGGGGATGGTGCGCTGCCCACACAGGCAGGCAGGGGGGAGTGTCGTGAACAGGCAGGTTTCCTCTCTACTGTACCTCGGCTGGGACCTTGAACTTCTCCACCACCCCGAGCTCGAAGAAGCAGCGGATGCCGCACTTTACGAGCTCCAGCTCTGACAAAGCGAAGTCACTGAATCGGAACTCGAGCAGCTCCACCTTCTTGGCATCGGGGATGTTGGTTCTCTGCACATTGGAAACAGTGTAACCTTCAGTAAACCATCACAAAAGGAGTTTATGAGGAGCATTGTACTCCACCCATCACAGTGCTGCTTACCAACAGTTTGTACATCTCCTTCTGGTCACAGTCCTCTGGTGCAGAGCCAAACTTCTCTTGAGTGTTCTGTGGGGGAAAATTGAGTTTAAAGGAAGCTTGTTCCACTAATCTGTTTTCAGTCTAGTTGAAGTAATATCAGTAGCTGAGCTGCACGTCATCAAGTGTGGCTGTTGTCTGGTACATGAGCATCTCCTGGGTAATATCCTTCCTCCACTCTGTCCTGTTCAGTTTGTCGTATGTGTCGCTATTCAGAGTGGACCAGCCAAGGAACTGGGTAAGAGCCTGGTGACATGGACAAATACAATTAAATTATGTAATTCCAACAGATTCTTCCAAACAAATCTCCAACGGTAATTTCAATGATACAAATATAAAAAAGTATATTAAAGTACGTTTATAGTTTATTATAACAGCATTCAAAGAATTGAATTGGAGATATTAGAATAGGACAATGGTATGACATCATTTTAAACACAAATACTAATTAAAAAGAAAACTATTTCTACTGTTAGGGCTTGAAAAGTGAAACAATATAAACAAAAAGAGCCACTGAAGACGGGTAGTTTCCCATACTTCTGTAATTTGTTCATCATTCTCGTCAAATGGTTTGCCATCATTTCTGTTGAAGAAAGTGGCAACTCCAACAATTTCTTCCTTTTTGTTGACGATGGGCAGGGACAGGACGTTCTTAATCTTCCATCCAGTCTCATCCACCGCTTCTTTCTGTCAAACAAATCCAACAGAACATCCAGATTATTTCAGTGTGTAAACATCTGAGCAAATGTAATTGAATGCCGGTTGTTTATTTTCACCTGAAATGCAAAGTAATCGTCTGCTTGAGTGTTCATCATGTTGCAGATCTAGAAGAAGTAACAAATAAAAGAGGTTATCACAGGTGTGTTTGGAAATCAGCAAATCTCAAATACACCGCAGTGTTCCCATTGAAAAAAGGAACAAAAATGGAACTTACAAATCCGTTACTCAGCCACATATGATGGGAGGCCGCTGACCAGAGCCCAGTGGTCCGCAGGGGGGCCGCTGTGAGTTCAGAGGATGAGTACCTGCTCGACTTCTTATTACACCAGTTAATCTCTACAAATATGAGAATAAAGCTACTGTGCATTGTGATACTTACGGGATAACTTTAATTTCCTCCTTGCCTTCCAGCAAGTAGTCAATAATCTTGTAGAAGCTGATTTCCTGAACGGGAAGAGAGCATTTATTCATATTATATTTATATGTTTAATCTTGACAAATCAGGGAATAAGGATAATGGGAATATAAAAAACAGTGTTGGACTTACTCTGCCGTCAGGTGTCTTGGGGCCTTTGTATGGCTCCTGGTCCCCTAGTTTTATTGCCCACTCATCAAAGAATTCCTGGTGAACAAAAGGCCAATAAGTTTCCATATTTTTAATAAATACTTCATTAAATGTTTAGCTTTCTTCAGACTTTCGTTGACGCACCTTTTCTTTGGTCATGTCCAGGAGTCCCACGGAGTATCTCTCACACTTGATGTATGTCCTCACTGTATATAAAGCTTTGTGAAACTGCCTCTCGATATCTGTCAACTCTTCAAAAACTTTGCTGGCTGACCACAGCAACACCTATTGAAAAGAAAAGCATTTATGATTTTAGAGCAGCTGGAAAATATTTCCATTTTTGTTTTATTGAGAAATATGTCAATTTTCTTTCCATGCTGTTATTGGAAAAAAAACTGAAAATATACAAAATGTACGCTGTATTTGTACCTGACTTCTCCTGGATTCTACATCCCACATGCAGGAAGTGTGACCTTGGAGGACGACCACACTAGCAAAGTTAATGTATTTGCTGCAACATAAGAGCAAAGAATCATGTTGTCTTTGTGAATCCTTTTTACTATGTAATGTTATTAATCTTCAATTGCAACAGATCAGTCAATTTCTATATTGGATGACCTCTAGAGTCACACAGAGGTCATTAAACAAGACAAGCAAACACATTTCTGAGCTTCCTCTCCCTAAATGGATTATAAATTGTGCTTTCATATATGGAGACAGTAAAGCTGGTGGGCTAAACTGGTCCTATGATGCGACCCTGCTGCTGGATTTGTCTGCTTACTACTGCACGTTTCCCAGCTCACTTGGGGGAGGCAATAATACCCTCTTATTCAAAATGGAACATCCTGTCCACTTACCTCCTCATCACTCTTTGAAAATTCATCAGCACCCTGTTTGTTGAGTGCCATGATGACACCGATGGGCTCATTTTCATACATGATGGGGACAGTAACCATGCATTTGGTGGTATATTTGGTCTGTTTATCCACAAAGTCATTGAAATGAGTGTTCTAAAAAAATAACAGGACGACAGGTAAATGGGTGCACACAGAAAAAGTATTACTATTATCCTACTAAAATACAAATCGGCATTAAAGTGACTAAAGCAGTTGTTATGTTAAAAGCTGTAATTAATGTTCAGGTTAAAAAGCCATGCTACTTCTAATTGAAAACAAGTTATTTAACCTATACTATCCACCTATAATATTTTTTTAAAAAACATCCAAAAGTAATTGTTGGGCATTAATAAAACTGAATAATAGGATTAATCTACTGTATGTATAATCTGTAATACAGACTGGTGTCTATTTGTCTTATTTGTTCATTTATAAATGCAGGGCTCTATAATCAAGTTTATATTTTAATTAAGCCCAGTATCATAAATCACTAGTTCCATTTGCATCACATTTCAATGTAATTATCTTTGGCACTAGCCCACCTTCTTAACATCTGCAACAATTCCCATGTCGGTGGGAAAAACAATCTCTACATTGGGATTCACAAGATTTTTCTCAAATGAGGAATTGTGGGTCACATCGAAGAGGATCGTGGACAGCTCAGGTGTTCCGTTGCGAGACCTGTAGCCGAAGTAGCTGCATCGATCCGCCTGGATCAGCAGAGCAACCCTCTGGAGAATTTTATGTAGAGTTTTCTCCATCGGGGCGTTTGTCTTTAACTCCTTTATGATCTCAAATATGAACTCAGACTCCTGGATGGTGCTGACATCCTTGTAAGAGGATGGCTCTTTGACCTGCACCTGGTTGTTGAAGGCAGCAGTAATCACATCTGCCTGGACTTTCTTGTCGTAGTACTGCTTAGCGAAATCGGGGTTGTTGTCAAGAAACTTCTCTAATGTCCTTGTCTGCCATGTTGCCCACGTTTGGATACACAATCCCCTCTGAACAAAGATAATCCTTTCAGGTGTGTACAGCAGTAAAGATGAGGCACTGCAGACTCTACCGAGACATTTTCAGAACTCCTCTGTGGACAGCGCTCCCACCTTCTCCTCTGTAACAGAAGGTAGTGAGTGGCTTACTGGGTAAGGGGATCCAAGGGGGCGATAATAACTTACGCAAGGGTCATAAAGCTGCTGAGCTTTCTTAACTTGTAAATCCTGCCGCCTGTCATTTTAGTGGGGACAATCCCATCACATGTTATGTTCACCGAGTTATGCACATGCATGACCTGCACTGTAGACCGGATTATGATGTCAAGACTGCAAGGGATCCTGAGGATTTCCTATTTTTTTCTGATAATATAATGAGATCTTGGCAAACTAATGTATTTTAGGCAGAAGGATAACCATACAACCGAAAAGAGGGTTAGAGGAGCCATTGATATGCTGATTAAAGCTGTATAAGTGTCTAAGAGAACTAGGATGCAGCCACAGAGGTAATGTTATACAGCTGATACATTCAAAAAGAGCAGTGACAGCTATTTCTTATATTATAATTATTATACAGAAAGTCCTCAAGATAAACAAGTGTTTATTTCTAGAGACTGGCTTTCCTGGGCCACTTCTGTCAGATGCATTTAAACAGCGACAGGATTAAGTAGGATTGCAACCTGCAGCATTGATCTTAATTACTCTTGTTGGCAGGCAAACATTGGTTAGTATACTTGGAGCAAGCAATGGAATAAAATAAGTGTTTTTGTTCACTATAATAGACTAAATAAGCTGACTAATATAACAATTAAAACTATATATTTGTACAGAACAATCTTGATGATCATTGATGCATCCCTTGCGTTCGACCACTGCCACGGTGTACTTTTCTCAGCGGAGATACAACAGATCTGTAGCAGAACTTGCGCCAGCGGTTCTTGAACTGGAAGACGGAGTAGAGGATGGGATTGAGGGCTGAGTTGGCCAGTGTGAACGTCACCACCCAGAAGAACATGGTAGAAGAGACTTCTAGGTGACCCAGGAAGTACCTGGCCATGATGAGAGAGGTGGTGATGAAAATGGGGCTCCACATGATCAAGAAAGAGAGCACAAGGACCAGAAGGGTTCGAAATAGCCTCATATCTTTACGGGAGACATTGTACTCGACAGAGTCTCCAACTTGGGGCTGGCTGTCTCGGTGTCGGAGCCTTAGTTTACTTCTTTTATAAATCTGGAACACAAATAAAAAATATTACAAAATAGTGGCTTCCTTTTCTTTATGACAGCATACAAAGTGGACAAAAAACATGAAATTAAAACCATCTATGTAACATGGTCTGGTTGAACATATGGAGCACAGTCTCAAACTCCCATGTAGACTTCCCAGAGCTAAAACCATATGTGGCTGACAGTCGGTTACTATCGTCTGTATCACTTTAATGTCCACATTGGCAGAACTGATTACCCATTGTACTGTTGACAGTTGATAGTGCAAAGCTCTCCACCCACACCCACACATTTTCACCTCCAGTAATTATTAAAGAACATGCATCTCTGTTCCCACAATAACAAAGAAATGACTAATCATTGCAGACGGCACAAAGTCAATAGATCCGCAAATAAATGGGCATGAGCTGGGATTAATAGTTTAATGAGTAATACAGGGATCTCTATGCAACTTAACAATGTAAGGGATAACACATCATTTACAATAGAGTGGAATAAGGTCAACCACTTTAGTGTACAAAATCCAATTTGGGTCAGATAAGGGGTAACGTTTTACTCTTGTTAATTATTTGTTAGAATTTTAGGTAATTACTTAGCATCTTATAGTCCATGTAAGCGTGAGTGCCACAGATAGGGTGGCAAGGTAATGACAAAGGTTGGACTAACTTATTGTGAGATTTTTTCACAGAAGGAAAAATAAAAGTGTAGTTGAGATTTCCTGATCCTAAAAACTCCACCCTCCTACAGTATAAACACTAACTTCCGGACATTACTCCATAAACCCACCTGTAATATTTTGCTGTAACTGACCACAATAATGACCCCTGGGAGAAGGAAGCACAGGGCAGTGAAGGTCACGTTAAACACAATCTCCCCAGTTGGGTCAGGCCACTTGAGAGTACAAATGTGTTCACGTTTCTGTGGAAAACACAATAAAACACTCATTAAAAAAGGTAGGAACATTTAGCTTTCCTTACTACCTTCAATCTTTCCATACCTGCTGAGGGAAATCCACATTGATCACAGTGAAGAACAGACTGAGGGGAATGCAGGTGAGTGCAGAGAAGGTCCAGATGAAAAAGAGGGTGGCAGACACCATCCTGCGGTTTAAGGTGGGCACGGCCTGCAGCTGAAGGATGGCCAGGACCCTCTCCACACTGATGGAGGCCAGGGTGGTGATGGTGACACAGCCGCTCATACAAATCACATACGGCACAATGTGACAGGCCGTAAACCCCAGCGTCCAGGACACAGTCCACCGCACGGCCACTATCAACGGGATCATGCTGACAAACAGCAGGTCGGCCACAAACAGGTTGAGGGTCAGAATGGTTTTGTTGGCCAAATGCCTGCGTTCCCAGGTCAGCAGGGCTGCAGCGCCCACATTAGCTGCCACAGACACCAGGAAGACAGCGGTGATAACCAGGGTCTCAAAAATAGTGGCAACATGATTTAAGTTTTCCCCCCCGGAAAAGAAGGAAAAATAACTTAGGTTTCTTAGATGGAGAAAGTGAGTGTGATGGTGAGTATCCATATAGATGTAAAAAGCGTGTCTACTCCTGCAGTCTGCCAGAGAAGTGAATGAGGAAATGAGCTGATAAGAGATACCAAACAAGGGGAGGAGGGTTAGTGGGGACAAATCTGTGATGCTTTGTTCTCCCTACCTGAAGACAAACATTACGAGATGTTCTTTGTGCTGTGCATTTATTATTCTCCAATATCACATTAGTTTCATTAGTTTTCTAACATCAACTTGCATTTCACGCATTTAATGACACACAACTGTTCTGTCGGCTGGGATTGAAACGACTTACTTGTGTGTTAATCCAATTTCTTATCTTCAATCAATTGAGCTATTTAGCGTGTAAACCTCAAAGAAGCCGACGAGATCTAATTAGTTAGACACCACTTTTATTGACGCTGTGAATTAGATTATCGGGTTTACTTCTTCTGTAGTAATGCAGTAATTGACCAGTGGTGCTCCCAAACACAGGATTTTCCTCTTGGGCAAAACCTACAGGGATTTATTGATACATTAAGAGGAGAAATTGACTCAATACATATTTGTTTTATCAAAACTAACACATTTATCATATACTAACTGTCTACAAATATGTGGTCTGTATGAAAAGTACCTAAAGGCAAGGGAGGTGTCCTAACCATATTAAGATATATTTTTAAAGCTGTTAGCTTAAAGTATGTTAACCCTTGGTGTCATGTTCCCTTTTAACCCCCCCGTCACTGCACAGACCTTTGACTTCCAATATTGTTGGCTAGCAATACAAATCCTCGTCTTTAAATAGCACAGGAAAGGGATTAACACAAGTTGAGTGAAGCAATTCATCTGGTTTCAATACTGTGAGACGAGGGAGGGGTCAAGGACCTGCAGCAGCCCCTCAGTATCACACATAATTATCTTTATTTTCTACAGTAAGCTACAAACAAGACCACTGGCTGATGTTGAGCAGCATTTACTAGGTTCACCATTGCCGATTAGCCTGTTAGCTTTTGCTAGTTGGTCATCAACCAAGTGCATGTAAAGATGTGAATGACATTAGTTCTGCAGGTATTTGGTCAGAAAACTAAGTATTAAGCACATTTAAATGTTGCCTTGGTGGTTGTTTTATCCTTAAAGGCTTAATATAAAAAGGAAAATAATGCAACAAATTACAGCCATTATATCAAAATGTGGATATAATGCCTGTAAGGATATTTCTAATGCACCTAGTCTATGTTGAGATATTTCACTAGATTAGTGAAGTGTCAAGATCACCAAAGTCCCTCGAATGTATTCTTTAGCGACCTTACATTTCTGCACTGCCACTACACCTGCTGGTAAAGCAAGAAAACATTTTAAAATCCAGCCAAAGCTTTGTGGAATACTTCAAATCTAAAAAGCACAACTTCAGCAATTCACCACAGTAGTTTATTAAAAATAACTCTGGTTACACAGTACAGAAACCTTAACAGAAGACAGAATTGAAGTTCTCGGCTGAGCTCAGTCCAGACAGGACTCTAGGTGGACCATCAGTTCTCGGTACTGACTGCTGGGATACTCGGCCCGACAGCCGGGACACGCCAGGAAGCTTTCATTCAGCAAGCTGCCGTAAGAGGAGCACGTGGAGGGGGGGTGTACCGCTTCACATGAGGTTTGATCCGGCTGGTCTCTCTAATATAAATGGAGTCATTGATCAGTTCTATAATTTGTGTCCAGAAAGAACATACAGCTGTATTTTTCTTAAATATTAACAATGGATCAAATTAAGATATGTCATTTCAAACCGGTGATTCATAGTGACTCAGCCAGAGAAATGATTACCAACTTATTCTGCCCCAAGAAAATGTAATGCAGCTTAAAGGTTCATCACTAATAAAGTTTGGATATACTATTTACAAATAAGTGATTTTCATACCAACCTGTTCTTTATTTTTTTGCAGCCTCTTCAGAACCCCACCCGTTTGTTTCTTTAAATACGCACAGTTCTGCTTCTCATCATCAAGGTCTTGTGAAGAAATCTTTATCTAAAATTAGAAAAGTCCCCATTACAATATCAAAAAGTATAGCTGTAGAAATATATATATTTTTAATTAGGAATAATTCGTAGTTTAGATTGCGAAAATGGTCTGTGTCATTATTGAAAGTGTATGGAAAAATAAATAAAAATATTGACTGTATAAATGTAAACTCATTGTGCCTGACTCAATAAAAATAAAATTAAAAAAAAGCGTATGAATTAACAACATGCCTTAATTTCTAGTTAATACTAAGGATTTATTCAACCAAGGGGACAAGATAATCGATAACCGATACTTTCATACCTGTCGCTCCAAGTCTTCAATCGTTTCCTGGTCTGCATGGTGACTATTCAAAAAAGCCTTCTGCATGACAGTAGACTAAAAAGAGAATGTTATTCTGCATTTGGAGGATTTACATTTTTCCTATTTGCTAAAAAAAAAGTTCAATTAAGACCTACCTGCAGAACGATGCGTGCCGACTTGCGCTTCTCCTCATTCAGTCTGCATTGAAGGTCTTGAGTCTCAGCGGTGATCCATTGGTCCTCATCCTCAGAGCATTGAAGAGGTTCCTGTGGACTTTTTCTGCTCGTAATTTCATTTTGCAGCTGCTGCTGCTTGAGCTCTTCCACCTCATGTTCCCTTTCTTGGCACCTAAGGATCAAACAGCTTGTCAAGTAGCGGACTAGTTTTCAACTTTGCCAACTTTAAAAAAGGTTTATAATGTTCATTTTGTAGTAGCAGACATACTGGTTTCGGGTTATTATCAGGGTTTGGTGGATCATGTTGATCTGCTCCCTGAGCACATCCAGCTCCTCTGTGGCTTTCTGTAGGAGACTTTCATAGTGCTGCTGCATCTGGGTTAGTATTTGTTCATTCTCTGTAATAAAGGAGGCAGAAATGGTAATGTTAAAATATAGATGTATGTACAATGCATGATTTGTCCGATGCATAAAGACATAGATCCTTAAAGACTGGGTCCTTGAGGGTGATCTTGATATCTTAAAAACTGTGTTGTGACAGTCTGTTGCCCCTTGTTGCTCCAGTGGTGAGTGCCCACTGCCCACTGTCCCTCTGGCTCACCCTCTGAATGCTCCTCATTGTGCCGCTGTGAGCGACTCTGATTGGCTTCATTCAGCTGCTTCTCCAGCCATAACATTCTGGCCATGATTTCCCTCACATAGGCCTCTCTCTGCTGGTCATATGCCAGCCACTGCTTGTTCTTCTCCAAGGCCTTGGGGGATTGAATAAAAGAATGAGAAGCACATAACCGAGAAAGACAGAAAGAGAGTTGTGCCAGGGTTTAAAGCAAAAGAACACTCAGTAAGACATTTATACTGTACACAGAGGCACTGCTTCACGTAGATACAACATTTTGCATTTAATGCAAAACAGAAGAGAGTTAAAGATGAAAAAATAAAACGTTGGATTAGGCACAAGTGAAAAATAAAAACAGTAGACATTTTCCAGATGTGTGGTCACTACACAGTACCTACATCACTGAGTTGCTTTGGGAGCTCTGCTGTGGTTATTGTTGAGTCCCATTCACTTGAGGCAGAGTCCTACTTGACAAGGAAATTACAGTACAGCATTACATATACGTTAATGAACAGACTTTATATATTTTTTATTTATTTAATAAAAAACAAAACATAGTCAAAACATGTCACAACAAGGTCCAAAGTACAGCCCAGTGGGATTTGGAGCATTATATTCTTTGTTTTGTGTGTCACTTGGATGGTATGCTCTGTATGAGGAAGAGTGTTTTTAATGGAGAACAGTGGTCCTTCACTAAATGGAAAACACTTAAAAACAACTGCTGCCATCTAGTGGTGTAAAACTGGCAAGAGAAGCTTTCTCAGTAGGAAGCAAGTAGCAACACAACCAAAAGCATTTTGTTTATTAAAAGAAGGACATTTTGACAAATCACAGCATTTAAAATTAAAACTCAAATGCTGGGGGTCCTTGGGCTGAGGGTCCTTGTATTGTGCATGCTGGCTTTCAGTCATGACTTACTGGGACATATGAATGACGTTTCCGTGGAAGTGCCAAATAACATAACATGTAATAGAGGATTTTACAAGAAGAAAGGAAAAAAACTTGTTGTAATTCCCATAACAGAACACATATTTTGCTATGTAACAATATACAAATGTTTTTCTTATAAAAGGGCAGGTATGTTTGTTTAAAGATGCCTTACAGTTACTTGCATTAAAATGTATAGTTTTACCTTCTTCCCTGCAACTTTGTTCTCGAGATGTTGACACCTAGTTGAAACACTCACAAGCTTGTTCTTGATCTCATCAGTGACCCCACAGTAACTGGATAGGCTTCTTTTTCTTCTCATACTCACTACGTCCATCAGATTCCCTTCTTTCTGTCTCAACTGCTTCGACGGCAAAGCAATATTCTCCTGTTTGTCTGTGAGCTGATGAGAACTCTCCAGTCGAAAGGTTTCAAGAGAGAGGAAGCGCTGCGAAAAGACATTACAAATATATATGGATTACTATTAATAAACAACTCTAAAACAAAACCCTGCAGTACAGGTTGAGACATATTTAAACAGCACTGATAGTTTGGATGAGTAGTTTGAATAGGTTTACCTCTAACAGCTTGTTATGTTCTGAATGTTGACGAGACAGCTCAGCCAGGGTCATCTTCAGGTAGGAGTTCTCCTTCCTCAGACTGCTGACAACCACATCAAGCTCAGGGATGGGCTTTCTCCTGGGGCTACCCTTTTGTTTGGGGGACGCCATCTCAAGCACCTGTGAACAAATATAACACGACACTGACACTTTCAAGAAATAAAACATTTTCATTTTTTGTCAGAATATATTATTTCAACTCTGAATGGATCCAAGTTGATCACAAAAACTGGAAAAACTTAACCCAAGATAGTTTTCTAATCGTTTTTGAAGAGAAATTAAAAATACATTCACAGTTTATTATCAGATCAAAAATAATCTCATTTTAATGCAGGCAAAATCATGCAATGTATTAAAAGATTTTATTTTCAGTCATCTCATAAACATTAAAAACATTACATTACATTACATTGCATTTAGCTGATGCTTTTATCCAAAGCGACTTACAATAAGTGCGTTCGTCCAACAGAATACAACTTGAAGAAAACAGAATCATAAAAGTACATCAAGTGCTACTCAACTGGCTTTAGAAAAGCCAGTCCTTTATTAGTATAAAAGTGCTTTGTTAATAGTTCTATCGCTCGAAGTGGAGTCGAAAGAGATGAGTTTTCAGTTTGCGCCGGAAGATGTGCAAGCTATCTGCCGTCCTGATGTCAATGGGGAGCTCATTCCACCATCTTGGAGCCAGGACAGCAAACCCACGTGTTTTCGCCGTTGGGAACTTGGGTCCCCCTCGCAGCGAGGGCGCAGCGAGGGCGCAGCGAGGGCGCAGCGAGGGTGCAGCGAGTCGTTTGGCTGATGCAGAGCGTAGTGCACGCGCTGGGGTGTATGGTTTAACCATGTCCTGGATGTACGAAGGGCCAGATCCATTCGCAGCATGGTAAGCAAGTACCAGTGTCTTGAAGTGGATTCTAGCAGTTACCGGAAGCCAGTGAAGCGAGCGTAGGAGCGGAGTAGTGTGGGAACATTTAGGAAGGTTGAAGACCAGACGAGCCGCTGCATTCTGGATGAGCTGCAGAGGTCGGATGGCACATGCAGGTAGACCAGCCATGAGGGAGTTGCAGTAGTCTAGGCGTGAGATGACGAGAGCCTGGACCAGAACCTGAGTCGCTTTCTGTGTCAGCTGGGGACGTATCTTCCTGATGTTGTAAAGCGTGTATCTGCAGCAACGGCTTGTAGCAGCGATGTTTGCAGTGAAGGACAGGTTGTTGTCTAGGGTCACACCCAGATTCCTTGCAGTCTGAGTCGGGGAAACAACTGAGGTGCCGATGTTGATTGTTAGGTCAAGAGTGGGACAATCTTTTCCCGGAAGGAAGAGCAGCTCAGTCTTGTCAAGGTTGAGTTTGAGGTGATGAGCAGACATCCACTGAGAGATGTCAGCTAGACAAGCAGAGATGCGTGTGACGACCTGGGTCTCTGAGCGGGGAAAGGACAGAATTAATTGGGTGTCATCAGCGTAGCAGTGGTAAGAAAAACCATGCGGGCTAATGACTGATCCGAGCGAGTTTGTGTACAGGGAGAAGAGGAGGGGACCAAGAACAGAGCCCTGAGGGACCCCTGTAGTTAATTGACAAGGGTCGGACTCAGACCCTCTCCAAGTCACCCTGTAGGTACGGTCTTTCAGGTATGAGGTGAGGAGGGAAAGTGCAGAGCCTGAAACTCCAAGTTTTTGGAGAGTGCGAAGGAGGATCTGATGATTCACCGTGTCGAATGCAGCAGACAGGTCAAACAGGATGATGACAGAGGAGAGGGATGCAGTTTTGGCAGTGTGCAGTTCCTCCGTGACAGCAATGAGAGCAGTTTCTGTGGAGTGACCTGCCTTGAAACCAGACTGGTGCGGATCCAGAAGGTTGTTCTGATTGAGATAACAGGAGAGTTGTTTAAAGACAGCGCGTTCAAGTGATTTAGACAGGAACGGGAGAGAGACAGGCCTGTAGTTTATAACATCAGACGGGTTGAGAGTGGGTTTCTTTAGGAGAGGGTTTACTCTTGCCTCCTTGAGACTGTTTGGAAAGTGACCAGAAGTTAGAGAAGTGTTGATGAAATGGGTGAGAAACGGTAGAATATCAGGAGCGATAGTCTGAAGGAGGTTTGAAGGGATAGGGTCCAGAGGACAGGTGGTAGGGCGGGCAGAGGTAATGAGGGTAAGAACCTCACTTGGAGAGAGAGGAGAAAAGGAGGTAAGTGTGTTGGTGGAAGGAGGGTCTGGTGACCCAGCGGTGAGTAAAGGTGAGTCAGAAAAAGAAGAGCGAATATCATCAACCTTTTTTTCAAAGTGGGTAACAAAGTCGCTTGACAGAAGTGTGGAGGGGGGAGGAGCTTTTGGAGGGTCCAAGAGGGTGGAGAAGATGGAAAATAGTTTTTTAGGATTGGAATAGGAAGATTGGATCTTATCTTGAAAGAAAGTGCTTTTTGCCTGAGAGATCGAAGCAGAGAAAGAGGAGAGGAGAGCCTGATAGGTTAGGAGGTCGTCACGGTGTTTGGATTTCCACCATTTCCGCTCTGCTGCCCTAAGGATGGTTCTATTAGCACGCAGTGCATCATTTAGCCAGGGAGCAGGAGGGGACTGACGAGCCTGCCGAGATGTGAGAGGACAGAGCGAGTCCAGAGTGGATGAGAGAGTAGAGAGGAGAGTTTCTGCAGCAGAGTTTGGAGGCAGGAGTTGGAACGAGTCAGAGGAAGGGAGGGCTGAGAGCACCGACGAGGCAAAGGTAGAGGGAGCGAAGGTTACGGCGGACAAGTGCAGGATGAGAAGAGATTAGTTTGTTATGTTTGGAAAGGGATAGAGAGAATGAAATGAAGAAGTGATCGGATGTGTGGAGCGGGTTTACAGAGAGGTTAGAAGTAGCGCAGTTCCTTGAGAATATGAGATCAAGGACATTGCCAGCTTTATGAGTCGGTGGGGACGGAGACAGTGAGAAAGCAAAGGCGGTTAACAGAGATGTTAGTTCGTCTATCTTCCCCGTCTGGAGGTTGAAGTCTCCGAGAAGTACAGCGGGAGGGCCAGTTTCAGGGATGTGTGAGAGGAGATGATCTAATTCCTCCAAGAACACCAACACTAGCTGACAATGGCCTCCAGATGTCTATTACATTTCATTCAAACCTGGAGCAGTATTTCAAGAAATCGAAACATACATATCAAAGCTAACATGGCCCAGTGCTCGGCAAACATTTAAATATCTGACGATCACTGAATCAGATTAAAAGCTCCAGAAATGCCACCTAATGGACGTAGAGGAGACCGTTTTGGACTCTTTTGGCTACAGTAAATTATTGATAACTATGTTTAGTTCATCACAAAGGGTAAAAAAGTAGCCAAAGTTAACAGATATCACATCCTCTCACTGGCTCAACAAGGAATGGATTGGTGGTTAAACTGGATGCTGAACTTGCTAAACTAATAGCTAACGTTAAACTAACGTCAATTTAGCAAACAAATACCCATTTGCACACACTTTGAAGCTGTGTTTTTGTTGCAGGTAATATTGACAAATGTAATATAACACCATATAATGTTGGTTAAACTAGACAGGTAAGCATATGTTGGGAGGAATAAAAACAAAAGTTGAAAAAGCGTTAATAGCAACTTTAAGCTAAAACCTTGCTAGCATACATTGTTGATTCATTAAGTGTACGAAACATGACTTTCACCGTCAGATTAAACGCCTAAATGAATCTTGATCATTTTAGAAGACGTTTCACTATGTGCACTGCATTAGCATATTTAGTTAGCATCGTTACCTTGGGAGGGAGTGATGGCCTCTAGTTCAACAGTCTGTCATTGATTGGATGGATTATTGTGCTACTTTAAATACCGCCGCCCAAAATCCACTGCCCACTATGACGCCGATTTTAGTTTAAACAATGATGTAGTTTCTGGGGCAGCGCTTTTTCTTACTTAGTGCTATGTGTGTTTTGGTTGTGTTTATTTTTAAAAGTATGGAGCGAAGGCTGCATTCTATCATATCTTTATTTTAAGGAAGGATGCATTACGTACAACGCCACTGGGGGGCGCTGAAGTACAAGAGAAGAGTGGACCGACTCTGCTGGTTTTCCTGGATGATGCCTGAATTAACTCATAGTTGTAAACAGAAATACCAATCAATATTAAGTATGAGGCATTTAAAAGTGTTTAAATAAAAAGCTAGACTGACTATCCGTGTGATATCTGAGTTTTTTTTTCTCCTACTAACTTCCCACACTCATGTAGGCTACTGTTGCGTTTCATGCCTCTGACTCATGAGTGCGGTTGCCCTGCGGAATCCACTCCTCTTGAGCATATCTGTGTGTTTCAGTTTCCTCTGAGGGGCTCCCTGTCTCTCCTCGGAATATGATTTGTTTCTTTTAATAAGTTTGGAGTTTATCAAAAATGCTGCGGGTCATTGTTGAGTCCGCTAGTGGGATCCCCAAGAAGACATTTGGAAACCCAGATCCTATAGCTGCGGTTGTCTTCAGAGGTGAGACTTTGTATTTAACTTTTTTGTTTTGGAAACTACTGCAACTTTATGCACCGTTAACTCTATTCTAACTCTTTAGACATCACTTAAAGGTAGTAGCCTTGCAGTTTACATTAGGAATCCATTCTTAAAGCTTAATTTGAATATTTTGGCAGTGATTCATAATCAAAATGAAGAATATATCCATATAAGGTCAGGTCATAATAGCAATGTCTGTGTCCACTGATAACAGCATATTATGGCCACACGGCTTGAACTAAATATTTACAAAATGACATTCCAAGTTTATTCAGTATTTTTTATTTTTGGAAGAAGTCTCTTTGTCCAGGGTTTTCTCTAGGACATACTATGGTATCACAGCTTGTGAGTTTTTGCAAATAAGGAAGCTCACTGTGCATTGTGTTTACAGATGAAAAGAAGAAGACCAAAACAGTTAACAATGAATTGAATCCTGTATGGAACGAAGTAAGTAATGGGTTAGAGTTAACTGTTAGTTGTGAAAGTTACAGTGTTGACAGGGAAATGAACCATCTTAGGGCTGCTATTACCTCAGTTAAAACTACTTGTTCTTCTCTGTAATTACAGGTGCTTGAATTTGATCTAAAAGACTCTTCCTTGGATGCATCATCATTCATCAACGTGGTTGTCAAAGACTATGAAACAATCGGCAAAGACAAGTATGTGTATGACAAGCATCAGACATTGAAATTGTGACTTTTGCATTTTTTATATTATCTGCTAAAGACAGTGCTTTTTTGTGTGAGATGTGAATGAATACATGAGTCAGTATGACTAAATAATGATACTTCAAACACATTCCTGCCTTGCAGTGGAGAGCCTGCTCAGCCTGTGAGTGTTAATTACTTCCCCACAACTGAATGTACGGTCTTTAGAGTAACCCCCTCCCAAAAAAACAAAACACCAATGTTACGCTGTGTAATGCAGGTAATGGATGAATAAAAAACCTCTCCACACCTCTACTTCTTGAGAAAGATGTGTGATTATGTGAAAGTGTTTTTTTCTTTGTACTTCAACTACACTTTTAATTTGAATGAAGTAGTCATTATGATCTTTTCTTAAGAAGCAGAGCAGCATGTTTGATCTTAACTGAGATGTACTGTAGGACCCAGAGCGACCATGTTAAGACTTGCAGCTGTGTTTACAAAGACGTTGTTTGGTCTTCCTCACAAGAGCATTCCAGTTGTTAACAAGTCATTTATTGGTGCCCCTTATGAAATACCAAGATTGCAATGTATGATATTTATGATTTCTCAATTTCCTATGTTTGTTTGGCACACACATACATTTTGGAGTTGGAGTATCTTCCTCTTTCTGCAGTGCAGGCCAGAAGGTAGAACATCATAACATGTCCATTGAGTCATGCTTGTGACTGATTATGCTTGATATACATTATTCTGGGGCAGGAACAAGGGATGGGGTGAGGGTGGAGGGGTGTCTACATCTGCCACGCACACACTTGGATATTTTTCCATGATCACTGCCTGAAAAGGAGGAGGAGGGGGGGGGGGTGAATAAGAGAGCTTGCGCTGGCTTGTCACTGGCACATCTCTGAAGAGTTGTAACTCAGCCTGTAATGATCTGCAAAATAGAGAAAACAGTAGAGTTGATACTGACGGGGATTATGTTTGATGCTGGCAACATTTTGTGACCAACTCTCACTGACTTTCTCTGTTTATGAAAACCTAGAGAAGTAATATGACTAACAAGGGTTTCTAATGGTATATCAAGATATGCCGTTTTGCAGACTGCTCAGTTTGTTTGACAAAGTTAGCTTTTTGGCTATATAAGCTTTATTTAAAAATAATATGTAAGTGGAAAATACATCAGTATGCCAGCCAAGATAATATTATCTGACTCTTTTACTGTGTTTTGTTTCTTTAATGAAGCAGTTCTAAATACTTCAGAATAAAGTTTGAAGTGGTATTTTCTAGTTTCCTAGGAAAGTTGTGATAGTTTGTAGGGCTGCACCTATCGTGTCGTGACGATAATGCGTTATGCGCGATATTTACATCGTAGGACATGCGATATTAAATAGACAAATGAACTCAAACACGTCATGTTACAATTATTTTTGCTGCAAAAGGAAAACTCGCGTGGCTCTCATGTCAGGGGTACTTGAGTGAGTGACATGCAGGCTCTGCATGCACAGCAAACCACCAATCACAACCATTCTTGATCAGATCACAGCAGGATCAGTGCTGGAATTGGGCCGGTACTCACCGGTACGCAGTACCGGCACTTCTGGTTCTGACCCATGGAGTACCGGCACTTCTTGCTCAGTACCGGCATGCTGGCGGTACTCCGGTACTCATGCACCGTGCCAGTACTCAACACTCTCCCGCCGTTCTTATTATACATCCATATATATATACAGCCGCCCGGTACTCAGTAGATGCGTCATGAGGTGCCGAACGGACATTCTCATCGCTCTAACCGCTGGAGTTTCACAGCGGCTGTCAGCTGTTTACTCCTGTCATTCAAACAGAACGTGCTGGAGAGGGGGCGGGGCTTATCTTCTCCATGTAAATACTGTGGTGGAAACGACTATGTCAAAATTAACCTATTTGACCGTGATTTAATAGTAATACACGTTTCAAAATAATAATAATAATAATGCTGAAGTAACAACATACTGAAAACTGTTAGTAAAACCATGTTTTAATGCTTTACAATTTACATACCTAGATGCACGTGTGTTGTGTTTATGCAGTGCAACTCCCACCCAGTGGGTGGCTATGTAGAGTGATAGAACAGAGCAGGCACGCCCCCGAGAGAAGGAAAGCAAGTCAAGTCACAAATTAGCATTTCTAAAATGTTAGCGTGGATTAATAAAAGTGCAAAAAGACAGCGGTTGTCGCCGGAAGAAACTTCAAATACAGAGAATGCTGTGCCTGTGTTGGAAATTGTGTCTGATGGGGAGCTTTCTTTGGTTGATCCTCCTGCTCCAAGTGCTAGTGCATTAGCATTAGCACTAGCTCCGCCGCCTCCTCCAGAGCCTCTAAAGTTAGCTGCTGCTGGCTCAACTGCCACCACCAACACCGGGCAAAGCGATGCACCTGACTGCTGGACAACGGACCAGGTGCAATATTTTTGCAAGACCAATGCATGGCTCCTTCTTAAAGATAAGAAGCTAGGATGTCGGATATGCAGAGATGTCAAATCTTTGGGAATACACACTGGACAAGGACTGAAACTGTCAACTGAATGGGGTGAGTGTGCAGTGTCTCATTTCGGTGTTGACAAGGGCAAACAACAAGCTAGCCTGAGAAAAAAAAATCAAAGAACATAAAGAATCACAAGTCCATGTAAAAGCTGCTGACATCCTTACATCTGCTTCACGTGAAACTATTCAACATCAAGTGCAGTCTATGCATAAATCTGAATTAGACACCACTATCAGAGTTTTTCGAACGGCATATAAAATTGGCAAACATAGCCGGCCATTCACAGACATGCCAATTGATTTGAATGTACAGAAACTGAATGGGCTGAACGTGGGCAGGGTTTTGCACTCCAATAAAACCTGTGGCGAAATCATCGACCACATAGCTCATGAGCTGAAGAAAAAAATGGCAAAAGACATTACAGAAAACCAAAGAAAACTCTGTGTTTTGGTCGATGAATCTACCACTATTAGTGGTAAAACGGTGCTTGTTGTGTGTCTACGCTCAGCATTAGCTGATGCTGAGCCCGAAACGTTTTTTTGGGAGCTGATCGAGTTGGATGGAACAACGGCTGATGACATCACAAAGGCGTTAATGGAGTGTCTTGGAAGAGATTTTAACGAGGACTTTTTAGGTCAGTGTTTCGTTTCTTTTGCATGTGATGGGGCTTCAGTCATTCTAGGGAAGAGAACAGGCGTTGCTACCCAGTTGTGTAGTAAATTCCCAAGCCTGTTTGTGTGGCACTGCTCCAATCATCGTCTAGAGCTGGCAGTTGGGGATGTGGTCAAGGAGGTCTCAGGGCTCAATCATTTCCAGATCTTTTTTGACAAACTCTATTCCTTGTTCCATGCCTCCCCCAAAAATCAGAGGCAGTTAGCGCAGTGTGCGCAAGCAGTCGGACAGCGTCTCCTGGTGATAGGGCGTGTTTTGTCCATCCGCTGGGTGGCTTCAAGTGAAAGGAGCGTCAGAGCAGTCTGGGAAAACTACCGAGTGCTTCATGATCACTTCACAAATGCTGCAAACGACACGAGCAGGGATTCCAGAGACAGAGCAAAGTACAAGGGCCTGGATGATGTGCTCACATCTGCAACGTTTGTCAGCAATCTGGGACTGATGTACGATGCGCTCACAGAGCTCAGCGACCTCTCTCGGCAACTCCAAAAAAGAGAGATGACACTGCCTACAGCAGATAGGCTCTTAACTCGAGAAATACGAGTTTTTGAATCCATGGTCACCATGCCTGGCCCACACATGACTACAGTTCATACAGCTCTAGCTGAGAAGTCCTTCAAGGGTGTTGCCCTGCGTGAGAATGGCAGGCTTGTACAGATTCATGCAGGTCAGTTTTTCCGCAGTATGGTAGAGAATCTGAGACACAGAATGACTTCCACAACCTCCTCTCATGTCAGCACAAGATAAATCCCATTACATGGCCGGGAGGCCCGGGACAATCAGCTAATCCAGGACATGAAAGTTATCCATCCTGGAAGTTGGCCTGAAGAGGAGTTAGACGTACAGTATGGGGACGTAGAGGTGCTACGTTTGTGCGAAGTGCTGAAAGTGGACAGAAGAGAGACTGTTCAGGGCTTTCGCGAATACAAGGAAACCAGGGCATCCCGTACACCTGCTGCCATGGAGCCTCTACTGAAAGCAGTCCGAACCATCGCTGTCTCCACTAGTGAGTGTGAGCGGGCATTCAGCTGCATGAACGATATCCTTACTGCAAAAAGGAATGCTCTCTCTGTCAGCCGACTGTCCAGCCTGGTTTTCATTAAATGTAATGGACCATCACTAGGACAGTTCAATCCGGAACAGTATGTGAGGTCCTGGCTGGCAAAGGGAAGGAGAAGTGCTGATGAAAGAGCCTGTCCAGCTCCAGCCCCTGATACTGATGTCCCCATGGCCTTCTGGAGCCTTTTCTAACAATGTGAAGTATATTGCAAAGCAGCTTACCCAGTGAGAAGACTTTTGGCATAATGTGCCGATTTGTACAGATCCTGGAGATAGAAGGACTTCAGACCAACCAGGGAGTTATCTGATCAGCTTGGTGTTCAATGTAACTCTTTACCATGGCTCAGACTTTGTTACTTGCAGTTACAGTTTCTCATTTTAGATTGTGCAAATTTTGCATTTGTTTTTACATGTTCTTTGTTCATGCTCTTTATCATTTTTCTGAGTTGGAAAGTTAGATTGCATCATAGTTTACTTTATACATATTTGTATTCTTCAGTGGTGAAGTATATTGCAAAGCAGCTCAGCCATGTGAGAAGACTTTTGGCACTTTTTCGTTTTTCGTTTTCTGAGTTGGAAAGTTAGATTGCATTCAAAATGTACAGAAATACTTAATTTTGTTAAAGCTTTTTATAAAAAATGCTTCTGACCAGAGCTTTGTTTCCTTGTCATTAATGTTGAACACCACTAGAGGGGCTCTCACCTGAAAGGTCTCTGCTTCATGTGTCTTCAGCAGAAGATCTAGACTTTGATTGCTATATTTTCAGTTAATATTGACCTTACTGAGCTTTAGCCATATCCGCTGCCTATCATAAAAAATGTTAAGAACAGTGAACCTTTCTAAAATATACAGTAGTAAAGAGACAAACCCACCAGCATTATAGTAGCCAAATTCTTGTTTGTGGGCTGTATATATAAAATTGACTTGAAAAAGTTGCTGATTTTAGAGTACTGGCACCTTTTTCATTCCAATTCAAGCACTGAGCAGGATAACCGAGCTAGCTCAGCTTGTTGCTCTGATAACTTAAGATCCAGAAGTCCGTGACTAGAATCCTTCATCCGGTTAAATATTGTCAACAAAATACCAATTATATAGCATTAAAGTTCAAGAAAGGATGGTTTGCGAAAAAAAAAACTGTCTTTTTTTCAATTCCTGTCTTTTTTTCATTTCGCAATATATATCGCAGGGGAAGAAAATATCACAATGTTAGTTTTTTACAATATCGTGCAGCCCTAATAATTTGTATAAATCAGTCCTAGCATGTTCTACAGTTAATTGCAATTCTAGATATATCTGTGTGATGATGAATAAGGAGCCTGAGCATGATGTATATGATCTTGCCTGCTTGCTCAAGACTCCCTTCCCCCCCGCCTCCATTACTCTATATTTGTCCACCCTCAAACCTGGCGCCCAGGACATGCCTGTGGTAGATGTTAATTGTTTCCATCTCTCTGCTTTTCCTTGTGCACCCTTTTATCCTCTTGGGGCTTGTCCTTTGTAACCAGCTGGAACAAAAATATCCCATGGGTTTGCCTAAGTGATGCTGCTAGGCAAAGTGGACATTTATCATGTTTTTTTGTCATGGGATCATTATTTTGAAAATGCCCATTGTTTTGCAATCCATTGTGATAATTAATCACTGTTGCTATGTGATCTCTGTTGGGTAGATAGAGTAGGTGCTGTTTCTCTTTTTGTCATATTAAGTGCAGTGAAATTAGGAAGTAGAATCCACCAACTATCCTGAGCAGTGAGCCATTTCAGTCACAAACACCGCGCCCAATTACATAATGTGATCATTTCAAAGCTATTGTGCAACAGAAGCATCCTCCTTTCTCTAAACTATTAATCTGATCAAACAATTGTTTTACTCAAGCTGCAGTGATTCGTTTTCTGATGTACTGTACGTTTTATTGTCTGACAAAAAGGAAATATACTTGATTGCTTTTCAGGTTAATTGGATCTGCAACCATCTCTCTGAGAGACTTGGCCAGCGGTCACTTGATGTCCCTCCCATCCAAGAACGTGCCGTTGATCAATGAGAAACAACAGGCTGTTGGGGTGAATATCTTTAAAATGACACTTTGGCAATGTTATGACACTAAATGTAAGACATGCCAGTCTCAGCCCTTGCAGTGGATAATACATCGTGAATTTCATTTTTCAGGCAACAATCAATTTGCTGATTAGGTATGAGCCGCCTGCCAACGCTATGCCAAACCTAAATGACCGACCCGATGTAGACACGTCTCAGGTGGATGGTGGTAAGTAGACAGTCTAAAAATAGAAAGAAATAAAGACATGTCTCCAAAATGCTTAAGAACTAACCCTCTCAGCAACTGTGTGTTAAGAATCGTGGAAAAAAGGTAGGACCCAAATGCAAACTACAAAAAAAAAGGTAAAAGGTCTAGAAACAAAAGGCGAGCTTTATTTTAAAAGCTGATAAACACAAAAACATGGCATGAAAAATACAGGTAGCACAAACACACAAAACTGACAGTGACCAACATGGAGGGAGACAGGAGAGACAAACAATGAACCGACGAGAAAACACAGGAAAAGACAAGACTAAATACAGAGAGGGGTAATCACGGGACAAGAAACACCTGGGCAGGAGAGGTAGAAACACAAGGGCAACAGGTGAACACAATTAGACAATCAAACACAGGAGGAAAAACACAGGAAGGCAGACAAGAGACATGGGGCTCTTCTCACTTCTCTTATTTTTCATTTCCTCGCTCCTCGGTCTCGGTCTCACCGGAAGTTGATTTGTCTGCGCCATCTTGAGTAGCGTCCCAATGGCCTTATTTTTGCCGGAGGATCGAGGAGCGAGGAGTGATAATGGAGGAGCTATAACCGAGGAACCACCAGACCATCCTCCGATGAAATCCTCAGACACTCGCCCAGCTCCTTACTGTGTATCGCTCACTGATTGGACGATGCAGTGCATGCACTGATCTGATGCTTCTTGACATGAGAGCAGAGTGAAGAAAATACATGAACCTCACGGGTGTCACTCCTCAGTTTATACCGTGTTTTGTTTCAATTCATGTATCATTTAGTTACAAATATGTGATATATCTGAACAACAAAGTGGTCAAAAATCATTTTATTCATTTTTTGGAAACATTTTCATGATCGCTTTTTTCGTTTTACATTTTCATTTATTGTCATTTCCATTCAGTCAGTCATTAAGTGCTATTTAAAATGTTAATTTGTTAATATCCAAACAAACAAACAAAGTGTGCAATCCAATGAATGTTAATCTAACTGGGTTTTGATAGATAACATATATTACATTACATTACATTGCATTTAGCTGACGCTTTTGTCCAAAGCTACTTACAATAAGTACATTCGACCAGGAAGACACAACCTTGAAGAAAACAGAATCATATAAGTATATCAGGTTTCATAGAGCCAAACATTTCAAGTGCTACTCAACTGGCTTTAGGTAATCCAGTCCTTTATTGGTATAAAAGTGCTTCGTTAATCGTTCTAACGCTCGAAGTGGAGTCGAAAGAGAAGATATATCTTTTTCTTCTCTCAATTATTTTATTTCTATTGTGCACTCTAATCAATATTAATCAAACTATTGTTCGTTTATACATTTTAAGAATGGCGTTTATCTTTTTTGAGAATTAGTTCTTATTTTATTTTATTTATTTGGGTCTACAACAGATGATACAAATGTTTGTGTCAGTAAATGTGTACTAACCATAGACTGTATATATAAAGGTACTAACAGAGGCGGGGATGTTTGTGAAAATAACGGGGACAGAGCTGCTGTCAGACGATCAGCTGTGCAGCGTCATCACAAACGGACGTCGCTTCACGTGACGCTCCGGAGGAAAGGACGTCCCATTGCTCTTAAAACTCATTTCCCTGCTTCTCGTGGTTTCCTTGCGTCTCTCCATGCTTCCCTGGTGGGAGGGACTAGAGGCAGGGAAACGAAGCAAGTGAGGGACGCAAGGAATCCATTTAACCGAAGTGAGAAGGACCCATGGGCCCTTTCTCATTTCTCTAACTCCCCTCCTCGACTCCCCTCCTCGACTCCTATCCTCGATACTTAGTCCCGCCCACAGGAGAACAAAAAAAAATATATCGACTCTTTGTTTGTAGATATCTACTAAACTAAAGCAAATAAAAAGAGTAGGCCTGTTATACTGAGTGATATATACTGTAGTATACACACTGCTCTGCTTTCTGCACGGACCTCACAGCTGTTCTCATTGTAAACATCGTGTCGCGATGAAAGCAGTTAATAAAATAATATCCAGGGGACACATGCAGAGCTGTCATTGGCTGAGATAAGTCCGGCCGTGCGTCACGACCACGACTCTTTGAAACATCTCTGTTCCCGGAAATGCATCCACGAAGGAGCCGTGGAGGACCGTGGAGGACCCATCAGTGTATCCTCGGTTAGAGCTCCTCCAGAGAGCCTCCTCGACGCTCGATCCTCGGTCCTTGAAGTGCATTTAGAGAAATGAGATGTCCTTCAACAGGGCGCACTGAAATTCATTTCCGGGTCACTACCGGAGGACCGAGGAGTCGAGGAGTCGAGGAGGGGGATTTGATGAAATGAGAAAGGGCCAGGGAGAACAGAACCACAAAACAACACCCATAACATACAAAACTAAAAACATCAAGATCGTGACACTGTAAGACATCTAAAAATGGGATACAAAATGCTACTGATATGGGTTTCAATTGTTAAAATATACTTTATTTTTTATCTAATACTGGATAACAACCCATTGATCCACTCGGATACAAAATAAGGGATTACTGGTAAGGCTTTCAATCATCCGTAATTGAAAGAAACTCTGATTATTGTTATTGATTTCACCTACATTTATAAAATAATGTTGTTAGCCAGTGCTTTTGATCCAAAGAATGTTGTGATTATTCAGTTTTTTCTCCACAGGAGGAGGTGATGAGGGTGATGAGGGGGAGTCAGACGTGGAGGGGGGAGGTCAAAGTGGAAGCCCAGGAGCCCCCACCTCACCAAGCCAGCCTGGGAAACCCAGCCACAAGCCACAGCGTCTGAGCCGTAAGAGGCATCGGGCCCTGGCCAACAAGCCTCAGGACTTCCAGGTATTGTCCGAGTTTTGATAGTAGTATTGCTGGATAATCACAAATGCGATTTAAGGGTACAATTCCTATACATAATCACATTAATGACAGCAGCCCTCACTAGTGCTACTATACACTACATGAAGTGGTCACCCCTAGATATTTATTTATAACATTTATCACTCCTGTTGGAAAATTGCATACATGTAAATCGTTCTGCATCAGGGCAAGCAATTTCACATATTTTTGTTTCTATAGAGGTCAGTAAATGTATTTGAGCAGTCTAGCGTCTGCCCTGGATAAGTTGGTATTTGTCAACACAAAATGATTTTAAATGTTTGTTCAGCTACCTCAATCAGAGCACACTGTGGTTTGCAATGTTCAGATTCGTATTCGGGTTATCGAGGGTCGACAGCTGCCTGGCAACAACATCAAACCAGTGGTTAAGGTGAATGTCTGTGGACAGACACACAGGACCAGAATAAGGAGAGGAAATAACCCGTTTTTCGACGAGGTAATGAACCATTACCACAAAAAATTGTGTATCCTGTAAAAATGTTGCTATAACTCGCTTTTGACTTTTTTCATGCTTGTAAACATCATCCTGTCTTCTCTCTTTGCCGCTTAATCCCCTCCAGCTTTGAATATCCCATTGGGTATTTCTCTCTGTATCGACAGCCGTGATATGACAGTGGACCTTAAAGGACCTTCTTGTATTTAAACCCTCTCATTTTCTCTTGCCTTCCCCTTTGCCAAAGCATAAGCATCTTATCAAAGTCCTAAGAATGTTCACTGATCGCAAAATGTGTCCAACACTAACATGTATTATGCATACAGGGACATGAAAAATACTTATTTGTTCATGACTTCTTTCTGTCCTGCAGAAGTTTTTCTACAATGTTAACATGCTTCCCTCAGAATTGTTTGACGAAAGCATCAGTCTTCGGGTGCGTAGGAAACTCATTTTTAAGCTATTTTCTTTTGGTTTTGGTTTTTATGTCTGCTAAATCTGTAAACTTGTGTTTATCTCGACAGGTTTATGACTCCTACTCCCTCAGATCTGACAGTCTAGTGGGAGAATTCAAGGTATGCCAAGTGAAGATCTTTCATATCCTTATCTCTTCTCTTCTTCAGAAGTTTTACCTGTATTGGTTTATCTCTCACAAGTAGAGACTCGCTGTAGCAGGATTGTGGCTTTTATCACAAGCAGGTTGAGAGATTAAAAAGATTTCCTATAATTCAAATGTTTTTTCTTTACTACCCAGTTGGATGTCGGCTATGTCTACGATGAATCAGGTCAGACTTTCCATGTAAAATGCATACCTTATAAGAAAATAAAGTCTTGTTTGTATATATTAAATATATTTTAGTGTTGAATGTGTTGAACATTCTGCCATGTACAGGTCATGCCATAATGAGGAAATGGCTCCTGCTGGGTGATGCTGATGACTCAAGTTTAGGGGCCAGAGGTTACCTGAAAGTCAGCATAATTGTTGTGAGCACTGGAGATGAGCCACCAGTGAGTATACCTTTTTTCTTACTATCAGGTTTCTCCCTACTGGATACAGATTACAGATCAGTTTTGAAATAGATCATAGCAAGTTTCACTCTCCTTCTGCAGACTGAGAAGAGAGACATAACTGAGAATGAGGACGACATAGAAAGTAATCTCTTGGTGCCTGCCGGTGTCACAATGCGTTGGGCCACACTCAGCCTCAAGGTGTACCGAGCCGAGGATATGCCACAGAGTTAGTGACCCATAAACTCTTGCAGCAATTTTATTTTAATGCAGTTAAATCTCCTTCATAAATCTTGTATTTACAACCTTCTTCACTTTGCAGTGGATGATGCCTTCATCCAGACAATTAAACAGGTCTTTGGAGGGGATGGAGAACCAAAGAACTTGGTGGATCCATTTTTGGAAGTCAGCTTTGCTGGCAAGAAGGTATTTAATGTTTAATTAAAAAGAAAAATGTGTTTTTAATGATCTTACTGTTTGATTATTATTGACACGCAATGGCACTTTCTTTATTTCAGCTGTGCACCAAAATCATCGAGAAAAATGCTAATCCGCAGTGGAATCAACTCATCAATCTCCAAGTCAAGGTTAGAGAAATGTATAAGATGTATTTATGGTTTTTATCTAAACACTTAATTCTTCAGCACATATTAGCACTTGCTTCTGTCTGCCTCTGTAGTTCCCGTCCATGTGTGAACGCGTCAAGCTGACTATGTTTGACTGGTAAGAAATAAACTTCATTCATACACAGCTGAACGAGTGACAATAATATCACAACCAATATTTGACATTCCAGTTTTCTCTTTGCAGGGATCGTCTCACAAACAATGACGCCATAGGAACAACGTTTTTAAACCTAAGCCAAATGTCTTCCTCTGGTGGAGAGGTCGAAGGTAATTCTTTAATCTTTGTTTTTATAATGATTGGTGTTTTATATTTTGATAATGCACTATGACAGTTAACCCTCCTGTTGTGTTCGGGTCAAATCTGACCGATTTACTACTTTCATCAATCATAACTTTTTTGTTTTACATTCGACTGCATTAAGGCTTTATGATATCCTTCACAGTAGACATTTGAACATATGCAATTGTTGATCACCGCTTTCATTGAATTTCGGATGATTTAGTCAACTTTGTAACACCCATGGTGTTTCCGGTAAAAAATTACCGCCATAACGAAATATAATTAGTAACCATCCGGATCAGATAAAACACACACACACACACACACACACACACACACACACACACACACACACACACACACACACACACACACACACACACACACACACACACACACACACACACACACACACACACACACACACACACACACACACACACACACACACACAGACACACACACACACACACACACACACACACACACACACACACACACACACACACACACACACACACACATATACACTAGATGTGTTTTCCCCCGTATGTGCCCATCCCCCCATGTGTATCACACCTGGCACACACAAACCAAGCCCCCAGGAAGTGCGCTGGACTCTGAGGAAAATATTCGTTGTGGCCAAACGGCAGTAGTACACTTCTGTATCAGTCTCTGGGCCAGGAAATACTTTTTCCCATTGAGTAACATTGGGAAAGAGACATCTGTAAATCGTTGGATAATTTTTTTTAAACTAAATAAACTACCCAGTATGAACATTTGTATAGCCCTTATTAAAAACATTCGGTCCTCAAGTTGTAAAATGTGCTAATAACGTTATTCTGAGAGTTATTTTCCTCGGCATTATGAACGCGGATCTTCCTTTCCCCAGGAATAGTTCAGATAGTTCCTGGGATTTTGCGTTCACACCAAAAAGTTCTGGAACTAGAACTTTTTTTCGGGAACCTTTTCACCCCTTTTCAGTCCCTGCTAGAGAGGTGGTACTTTCTTGGGGAGGAAAAGGTTCCAACTTCTGATTGGCTGGGCGAATTGCAAACCACGCCCCGTAAAACTCCGAAAAGTTTTGTGAAAACGCCATTTTATTTGCTCGCATTAGCATTATTAGCATTAACATTAGCCCAGCGCACCAACGGAGAGAGACTAACTTATGGCAACACAAAATAAAACATGTTAGTGGTGGAGTGATGAGGAGGTGTCGGCGCTTCTGGCGATTTACTCGGAAGGCTTCAATAGAAGCTGCTGGGAAGATTCCCAAAGCAGAAGAAGAAGAAGTGACGTCAGCTTCTTCATTTGCGTAATCCTCCCTCAGGGATTTATTCTGGTGTGAACGCGATCTTCTAGAATAGTTCCGGAACTAAAGATATCCGGGGAACTAATGGCGCATTTCCACTCCAGCGCGTAGCACGGTTTAAGCGTGCCGTACCAAACCCGGCCCGTTTTTTGTTGCGTTTTCATTTGGGGTAGTTCCGGCTAACGGGTCCCAAAATCCAGGTTCTTTCCGGGTCAACAACCGGGCTGAATATGCTAAACTGAGAATCGCTGGGAAGGGGGCTACAACTACAACAAAATGAACATATTTTACCGTGATTTAATTGTAATAAACGTTTCAAAATAATGCCGAAGTAACAACATACTGATACCGGTTAATAAAAACCATGGATTAATGCTTTAACAAGTCTGTAGACAAGACTGCAGGCGAAAAACCTTTTAAAATGCGTGTTTCTGAATGGAGATCGGCTAAGCTAACGCTGTATATGCTCCGACCGTCCACACTCACAACAATGGCCTATACCAGGGGTGCCCAAGCTTTTTCGAACAGAGAGCTACTTTTAAAGTTGCCAGTCTGCCGAGATCTACCAGTCCAAATAGAGAGGCGTAGCCATTACTGACAGCCTACTACCAAGTAAATACACACTTCTACTTGTATAAAACTGACATTTGTACGATGAATACTTCATAAAATACTGCAGATCCTTTATCTTACCTCTTTCTAATCTACACACATACAAGTATTTAACTGAAGCTACACAACAGTGTTGTTGATACAGAGTTGGAGTTTATTCACACGTCACATACTACAGTGGGTAATGTTTTCAAGAAACATTGAACAGTGCTGCCACATATGACAAAGGAAAAAAAGAAAAGACTCTGAACCCTTTATTTGCCATTATATAAAAATAGTGTTGCTACAAAAGTATAAATTAGGCTTACTCATAAGACAACTCAGATCTGAAGCTACACAGGAATCTGCTGCCAAAGTGCAATAAAAAAGACTAAATTAATAGAATCAAACCCTTTTTTTGTTGCATTTTAGTAGAGTATAAAAAGAAATGCCCTTTTAAAATAGGATGCAAGCAACACTAGTTTCTTAACCTGAATTGATAATAGACTATAATCAATTTAAACAGAACAGATCTTATGTTTGCATTATTATACTATACTATATATTTTGTACAATAATTATAATGAATAAGTTCAAACAAACTAAAACTTACAGCTGATTAATAACGGTATCTAACTTGAGTTTTTATTATATCAAAAACCTGTTGAAATGCTACTGTTATTTTTAATGTCCCCCAAAACCGCGTCGGCAGCCTCCAGGAATGCTTCTTTCACAACTTCGCCGTCTTTGAAAGACTTCATGTGTTTCGCAAGAACGTAGAGGTTTCTCAATTCTTAAATGTCGCCTCCTCGACTCCCCTCCTCGACTCCTATCCTCGATACTTAGTCCCGCCCACAGGAGATGCGAGCGGAGGACTGAGGAGGGGAAGCAGCAGGCGGTTAGAGAAATGAGAACTCCTCTCCTCTGAGCGGTCATTTTAAAGAGACGTCCATTAATGATGACAGGAGGCACAGCAGCCCTCTGTCTGATGGACAGATGTGTTCATGATGACTTACGTATATATTTACTTTGATTAATTGACAGTGTGGTATAATGAGACAATAACAGGCTACAGATGCGGACAGACACACATATATTTATATAAATATATACAATTTCAGAATCAAACAAGTATGAGAGCATTCTCATAATAACGTAACACAATCAGAGACTGGATATATCCCCCCCGTCTCTCTGGTCGCTGAAATGGGGAATTGAAATTACGGACCAAACGTTGTATTTACAAGTATTAAAAGTAAGCAGAGGACACCAAACCAACTGAGACCCGTCTGTCCGCCGCATCTACACACTGTACAACACGCACCTACACACTGTACCACACACACACCTACACACTGTACCACACGCACCTACACACTGTGTGGTGACCCTGACATAAGTCACGCAGAAGTTTCCGAGACTGGACCGAACATGGCTAGAAACGCCGTTTTTTCGCAAACTGCCGGAGATTTTTGGAGACGTCCGTGGCTGCCTCGTGCACACGGACTATTCCCACATCGTTTCGGCACTGGGAGACAGCAAGCCTTCCGACCACATGGAGCAACCCAGTCTCACGGCATTTCGTGTTCACCAACACGATTTTTAATCTATTGATTCGTGTTCACCAACACGATTTGCCCCTTTTTTTCGTGTTGCACAGCACGATTTTAAAAGCAATGTATTTCTACTGCCTGCAGCACGTCTTTTTCTCCGGTCGGGTCAAGGAAGACCGGAAGCTGTGTGGTTCATAAAAACATGTTCTTACTCAATATCAAGCCACAGTTATTGCTTTTATTTGAAATCGTATAATTGAGGAAAATAAATGGGGCTCAGAGCCTCAGGATACTGAAATCTGTATTTTTTAAATCTTTTTTTCCTTCTAATTTGTTATTCTTTTCAAAATAACACACTGTTATTTACTCACCAATAACACACAATTATCCTTGCTTTTATTTATTGGTTTAATTCCATAATCTCGGGCTTTTTTGGCGTCCGTCAGGAACTGAATTTCAAAATAAAAATAACCGGAAACAGACGTAGGCATTTCGAGCGATTACCCAAGATCCTCAGCTATGGTTTTAAGCTCGCTTATTGGATGTTTTAGCCGCAATGCATGCTGGGATTTGGTGTTTATATGATATGAAATCCGGAAAACATTTTTAAAAGAATAAAATAATACTTAATTCCGAGCGCTCTTGCTTTTCTCTTTGAAAGTCATCACATAACGGCATTGTAATACACGGTTCGGCTGCATTGTGTATTACAGATCTGCCGTAGTTCTTTATTTATAGAGCCCTGATGAGAAGACCTTTGGAAAAACTGAGAAAATGCCGCCGAAACTGAATACTTGACGTGGATCATAAATATATTCAACAATTAAACAACATCTTCAATTTCTCTTCACACAAGACGTCTCCTTGCAGTATCAACACTAATTCGGCTGAATTTTACATTTGATCTAATTCACAGATTATATTTACACAGGGGCGGATCTACGGGGGGGGCAAGGGGGGGCAGCTGCCCCCCACTGTAGAGCCTTGCCCCCCCAGCTGCCCCCCTAACTTTTGTTTCCCTAAAACTGTACTAAAACAAACCTACACTATTTCCACAAGCTTCTCAAGCAACAAAACAAGCATTACATTAGTTAAAAGTGAATCATTTTAAATATCATTTTAAGCCCGTTAAAAACGCAGCTACGGCCCTGCATTAAACTGCGGAGCAGCGTTCACACAGCCCGCGGCTCACACCACTGCAGAGAGGGAGCGAGCTGTCCCAGCACCTATGGATCAGCTTCCCCTCGGAGCATTTCCCTTTCCACTAGTTTTGTTTTTACTAAGGACGAGAGCTTGAAACTAAATATTAATAAAACGAGTAATGAATATACTTTATTACTCGTTTCCATTCATGTCAATTGCAGATACATGTTTAGTCTTCTCAAGCACCAACTATCAAATATCTCTCCTGATTGTTGGCACTTGACAATCACCTTACCTGAATTTTACTCAGGTGTAACTAAAGTCTGATTTAAGGGTTGTTTATATTTCACATAATTAATCAGAATCTGCAAAGTAACTCAAATAAATGCAGTGGAGTAAAAATACCAGGTTAACCTCTGAATTGTAGTGGAGTAGAATTACAAAGTAACAATGAGCTGTCATGTGGGTATTAATGCTTATAACGCATTATGGACACAAGCGATTTTCACCCATTTATTAATTATATGTTTTACATTTGATAACACCAATGTGTTTAATACTGGCAACTTCTAATTGTGGGAAAAATGAAAACGTTCAGTAGAGACGTCCCATAGAACATTTTGCGAAACACAATAGCCAGCATGTGTAGTTCTGGGGGGGCGTTCAATTCCAGTTTTGGATAGTCTGGCGTGGTTTCGTTCCATTTCACACAGCTGTTTGACGCTCTGCGTAACCTTACGGGGACTGTAGTCCTAAACGATAGCTGGGGGATTATGGGTAGTGTAGTGTCTTCGGCCATCCTAAACTCAGAAATGTTGACAATCGCAATGATGCTCGAAATGTCCCTTATAGGCCTACGTCTGTTTCCGGTTATTTTTATTTTGAAATTCAGTTCCTGACGGACGCCAAAAAAGCCCGAGATTATGGAATTAAACCCAAGCGGCAAACTGTGGGGTAGAGCCGGGAAGCCAATACGGAAGTGCCACACACTGCAGTTCATATATTGGCCGATAGGCGATGGCTGCAGAAAGGAGCAATTTCCATAGACCCCCATGTTAAAATGCCCGATTTTACAGCAGAAAAAAACATGTTTCTACCCCTGGCTCCATACATTTTATTATCGATATAGTTCGATTCCACCTTCATGATTATGGATCTGGGAGTGAATTGTTTTCTAACGCGACCCTTTATATTTATATTAGGTCTTAAAATTTGTGCATACATTAGGGCGTGGTCACTTTGATTGACAGATACGTGCCTCACTGTCAGCTAACAGCAACTTGTCCAATCTGCTAGGCTACAACCATAGAGGCTACAACGTTAGTTAGTTGTAGTTACTGTACTTGATCCTTTAGCTGTGTTCGTGGTGATCGTGCCTGTTAGGGAATATTGTTACAAATACCAGATAATTAAAATGTCGTGCTGTGCGCTTGAATGTACTAACAGATCTTCCAAGAAGTCTACTTTCAGCTTTTTTCGGTGAGTAAAATGATAATATTATACATGTTAACCCCGTTAGCAGGTGTTTGTGTGCTTAGCCTGTTATGTAGCTTATTAGCCAGCTAAGGACGTAACCCTTTATACATATATACAGTTTAGTTTATGATTCAGCCTTGGGTAAGACTTTTATACTATATGGCTATGACGCCCATAATGCTAAACGGGAGCAAATGTTAAAAGGGGTGGGCCGCCGGAGTCCACGCCGCCGAAGCTAACGGGGCTGCAGGGTGCTAGCTCGCTAGCGCGTCCCGGCGGCCGTAGCTAGCACCCTGGGGCTCCGTTAGCTTCGGCCAGCGGCGGAGTCCGGCGTTATAACTGGAGATCAAGGAATGCATCGTAACGCGGACTTGGTTAGCCTGCAGCCCGCTGTAGTATTAGCTAAATAAATGATGTTGAGCAAGGCTTATTAAGCTGAACACCGCCACAATTATTCTGCTATGTATCGGTACTTATTTTATTTTATTAACGTGTGAATGACAAGCATTAAGAATAATACCAAATAGCTAATTATCTTGCAGATTGTCTCGTTTGATTATGAATGTAACGTTTATATAGTGGAACTACACTGTTTTATCAAAACCAAAGTGCCACGCAGTGACTTGGTATGCATGTATTTCAGCAGGAAATGTGCAACCTAAATGACATTTACCAACACAGACTATATAGAAATATTTGTAAAAGTTGTTCATGCAATACTAAGTGAATATGGCATTAACCCTCCTGTTGTCTTCGGGTCAAATCTGACCGATTTACTACTTTCATCAATCATGTTTTACATTCGATTGATACTGAGAGCATGTTAGCTTAGCTTCTTAGCCTGAGCTAGGACTCGAACGTCACGCTCGTTGGCAGCAGGTCCCGCCCTGTCCCGCCTCGGCTCCGCCTCTTTGCCCTTATTTGGAGAAGGCGGGAGTTAGACTCTGACGACACCGTCGAGCCGTTAGTGGCCGACTCCGCCTACTAAGGGCTTCACGGCAACTCTGCAGAATTCTATGGGTGACGTCACGGACCCTACGTCCATTTATATATACAGTCTATGAATTAAACCAATAAATAAAAGCAAGGATAATTGTGTGTTATTGGTGAGTAAATAACAGTGTGTTATTTTGAAAAGAATATCGAATTAGAAGGAAAGAAATATTTAAAAATACAGATTTCCGTATTCTGAGGCTCTGAGCCCCATTTATTTTCCTCCCAACAAAAGTCCGAAATTATACGATTTCAAATAAAAGCAATAACTGTGGCTTGATATTGAGTAAGAACATGTTTTTATGAACCACACAGCTTCCGGTCTTCCTCGACCCGACTGGAGAAAAAGACGTGCTGCAGGCAGTAGAAATACATTGCTTTTAAAATCGTGCTGTGCAACACGAAAAAAAGGGGCAAATCATGTTGGTGAACACGAATCAATAGATTAAAAATCGTGTTGGTGAACACGAAATGCCGTGAGACTGGGTTGCATGGAGACGTTACACGACCTGCTAGGTACGGAAGAGCCCGATTTATTTTTCATGGAACTGTTTCTTCGGGACATGCAGCTGCATGTCCGGACTGCGCTCGCTAACACGGCTAGTGTGGGGCCCGTGCTTTAGCCGAAGAAGCTGACTGGTTCTTCCTGGCTGCCCGGCTATTTACCCCTGAGGTGCTGGCTGCGGCACCTTCAAGTTCCCTGGTAGAAGCACGCCGCCTAGCAGAGGCTCCGGGGCCGACGTCATCGACTAACGGCTATCAGCTGACAGCTAACGGCTAACAACGGCTAACAGCTAACAACGACAACTAACGGCTAACAACGACAGCTACCGGCTAACAACGGCTAACAGCTAACGACGATAGCTAACGGCTAGTGGCTAACGGCTAGTAGCTACCGACGACTAACAGCTAACGGCTAACGACGACTGTCGGCTAACGGCTAGCAGTTAACGGCTGACTGCTTCCATATGTTCCATCTGACTGTTAACCCTTTTTGGTGGTGCCTGAGAGGAGGTTCGACCAAGCCTGGTTGACCTCGTGTGGATCCTCTCACAATTTCGCCCATCTGTTTTTGATCGTGGACAGGACGACCCTTTTGAGCTTTTTCCGGTGCCTGAGAGGAGGTTCGATCGGCCGGTCGACCTCGTGTGGACACTCTCGCTTTTTCACCACCTCAACGGCGGTTTCGGACGTCGCCCACGTTTTCATCGGCGCCTGGGTGGCGCACTTCTGGACCCCGTCTCGCCTGTCCCCTGTCCACGGCTCCTTCCTCCCGGGGAGACTGCTCCTGCCTTCTGGGGATACCGGACCCGAGGACTTCGTGCCCACCACCGCTGTGCCCGCCGCCGCTGTGCCCGCCGCCGCTGTGCCCGCCGCCGCTGTGCCCGCCGCCGCTGTGCCCGCCGCCGCTGTGCCCGCCGCCGCTGTGCCCGCCGCCGCTGTGCCCTCGCCTGCGGCCAGGCAGCGCTCCTCCCTGCTGGGGACCACCGGGATATTCATACCCGTCCCCACGTCGCAGCACAACGACCCAGCTTTCTGCGGCTGGCGGATGTTTTCTTCGTTCGCCACGACGCCTGCCGCGGCACCCTTACGATGGCCCGTTCCTTGGCCCGCTCCCACCCCCCGGTGGGGATGCCCTCGTTAGGGCCCCTACCCTCTCCTGCGGCCCCCTTACGTTCCGTCCCTCGCCTGCAGTACCACCCTCCTTGGCCCCTGTAGTGCTTCCTCCCGGACGCTAGGATTGTGTCCATGGTTGAATTCTGGGGGGGCTTGTGTAGTGATCACTAATTAACTAATTAACATAATTCACTCATGGAACTACAGGTTAGGGGTATTGTTTCCGCACGGACATATATGTTGTTGACTGTACTTATTGTGTGCCCTCCTTGCTTCTTCCTCTTTGCTTCCCGGGCTTCAAGCCGGCAACATGTGGTTTTCTGCTGCTCAATAAAACCAACTTTGCATCTTCGATGCACCGCCTCCGACTCCCTTCTCTCGGCACTACAATATTGTTGTTCTATTTTTAGACACATCTTGCGATCGACTGGGAATCTCCCCGCGATCAACCTTTTAAAATACGTGTTTTCTGAATGGAGATTGGCTAAGCTAACGTTGTATATGCTCCGACCGTCCATACTCACAACAACGGCCTATACAGACATAAATAAACCAGCGACTGTATTCGCCATGACACAGACAGTCTGTGGTTTGTACTTGTTTAACTTTTATCTAGTTTCTGAACAGATATGAGGAGCTGTGAGCTCTGAGTGCTAACAGCTAACGGCTGATTTTCTGTGGTTCGCATTGAAGATGACGTCACGGCTCTGCCTAAACTGCATTACTATAGTTACTGCCCCAGCTACTAAACTGTAATGGAAACGCAGCATAAAGTGAGTCTGGCCTACCAAGGCCTATACCGTACTAAGCCGTGCGAGGCCCTGCAGTGGAAATGCGCCATAAGTTCCGGGAACGATTCCTAGGAAAAGTACTTGGTGTGAAAGTGCCTATTTACTGCAGTTGTTCATGTATACCAGTAGACAATATTTACAGTTTGAAAGGGTGTTAAATGAAATTTGGTGATGATTAATGTTTTAGGTGTTAATGTAATAGCAGTTAAAACAGGACCAGTCAAATTTGACCGCGAACACCAAAGTAAGGGGGGGGAAAGCGAACACAACAGGAGGGTTAATTGATGTTTTCCTTCCCCTCTGGAAACAGACTGATCGCAACACAGGCTTTGAAAGTATGTAAGAAATGTTCACCTGCATGTTTAAGTTTTTAACCCTCTGCTCCTGTTTGTGTGTCTCTTCTCATGTTACAGTGAGCACCGCAGCATCAGAGTTTGGATTTCTTCCAGCTTTTGGGCCGTGCTATGTCAACCTGTACGGAAGTCCGAGAGAATTTACTGGCCTGCCCGACCAATATGACGAACTCAACTTTGGAAAGGTTAGACCTCCCTATCAGCTGAGTACAGATCAGTTCAGCACTGTTTATATAGACACATGTTATTTGGTCTTCATGAAAATGTCTACTTTAAGTGTTTGCCTTTGATCTGTTGCAGGGTGAGGGGGTCGCCTACAGAGGGAGGGTCCTTGTTGAGCTGTCCACTCAGCTGGATGGAAAGGTTGATAAGAATGTGGATGACATCTCCAGTGATGACATCCTGGTGTCACAGGTATAAACTGTGTACTGTCATTACTGCTTGTTACTGTTGGAGTCGGGAGGCCTGTTAATTTATTCCGGCAATTACTCAGACCTTCTAATGTACCTAACAGAAGCTATTAAGTCTATTGCCCCTTCCACACCACCGTGGTTCCCGTTCTAGCTCCGTGCTAGTGCTCTTCTGGTTCGGAACCGTTTTTTATTTTCAGCCCCTGTTTTGTTCACACCGCCCAGATCCCGACTGGTGCTGCCGCTGCTGCGTCATGACGTCACCGTTTACGTTGCTGATTTTCTCCCCAACGGCGCTCACAACAACAACAATGGGGGACTGCGTTAGGTCAATGATCGTGTTACTTTTAATCATACGAAGCCAGATTAAATTAAATAACGACTTCTCCAACCTTATACTTTTCTCCAGAGTGCCGTGGTTCATTGCATATTAATGTGTTTCAGCGGCATTTACCGACCGCTGCAGTGCTGCTCTTCCACCGGAGTTTATTCTCCCGTTAACTCACAAGGCAGCGGCCGCTGTAAAGTATTCACTGTCTGACTGTCACACAAGCAGCTGATACATATCCCCAATTCCCCAAGTGAATGTGTTTCAGTATGAATTGATGCTGTTTGGCATCACAACGCTGTTATGAAAGTTTCTCTGGTATAAAATGGGTGATGTTAGCATAGCAATCGGAGCTAAACTAACTATCTTGACTACTTGTTGTTGCTATCCTATATGTCATAAACCGTTTTCTACAGGCACATTTTACCGGCGTATTTTTCATTATGATTCTACTTGTGATAGTCGGACATGATAACCTGTGCAGCCCATGTATTGATTCCATCCGATAGCTGCTATAATACAAAACAAAACGTCTGCCTGCTCTCCACAATGATCAATAACAGCGAACGGATGGTCAAAGTAAAGTAAAAATAAACAGAATAACACGAAGCATGGTTAGTGTTGCCTGACTTTATAAAGTGTGTTTTTTTTTACAAGTGTGTGGTTGCGTTCTAGTCACTTTGCTCAGCGCTACTGCTTGTTACAACTGTTATATGCCGTATTCGCCATAAACTGTTAGCTCAGGTTAATTCCCCCCCCTCCGACGTAAGCGTGACGCATGCGGTTCTTGCTTCTAGACTGACAATCAGTTTTCGGTGCTTAGAGCCGGCTCCGCTGCGGTGTGAACAGGAAAAAACGGTGCTTATCAGGCTCTAGCTCCGAACCGGCCCTGGAACCGCGTTGGTGTGAAAGGGGCATATGTAAGTTTACGGCCCGGCTCGCATCCACCGGGGTCAGCAAGATCTCACCTCTATTAACTCCTGAAGAACCAGGTTCAATTAACTGCTGTTTCAATTCAGACACGCTAAATCCGTTTAAGCAATCCCGAAGGATTTTGGTATCAGTAATGAGGTGTGGCCCTACCTAAGTGTGAGTGTGGCAGTTGTGCAATCTTACCTTTTAAGCAGGAGAGGAGAGCGCAGATTTATTATTAATTTATTATTATTAAAGGTCACCTATCATGCTATTTTTAGGCAATAGCATAGGTCTCAGATATATAAAATATATAAAAAACATCTCCATGAAGTGTTTTGCTTAAAATACCAAACAGATCACCCATTCTAGCCATGCCTCATATCACTCTATTTCACTTCCTGTTTAAAAAGTGCTGATTTTGGATATAAAGCTTTAAAAAAAAAAAAAATTGATAAAAAAAAAAAAAGGAGGGGGCTGAGCTGGACCCGGAAGCTACTGTCTAAACTAAATACTGCCGTGATGAAACGCCATATCATGGATTATCAAGGATTATTTCTGAAACAGTATGGAGCTCAAAGGCTTTCTCTCTTGCCGGTTATACCACAAAGTGAGTTCCTTTTTATATCCAGCTTCTTCACACACATGCTCTCCAGTACAGGTTAGCTCTGAGTGTTAGCGATGCTAATGTAAACACCGATCATATTACGTCCAAAACAGTCGGGCATTGTTTCTGATAGCAACTTTCTAATAGTGCCGTGGGTCCACATTTCCGATATTACGTCATATCGGACGCAAATCAGCTCCGTTGTACTCCCGTTTTTAGAGATTTGGGTAAGGAGGAAAAGAGATAGGGTTTTATTTTCTGACGCTGCGTGAGTTCCCTGACACACCGGGGACACATATTTATGTATAAAAGACATAACAAAGTGCATTTTGCATGATAGGTCCCCTTTAAATGATCCCAATCCAAAAGGGTGGGATGATTTTATTTGAAGAAAATGGTCCACAATTATACAGTGTTTTTACCTTCTCTCGTTACAATGTGACAATCATGAACATATTTCATGCCGTGGTAAATTACTAATATGAAACCTCAATTCAGAGTTTTACATTTCTTGTTTTATTTCGTCACTCTCTCTTCAACTGTCCCTCTTTTATTAAAAACCTCTTCCTGTGGAATTCAGGGGAAAATCCTCATGGATTACCGGGTGTGAAATCAAATACATTAGAATCTCTTCAACTGCTCCTCTTCAGTTGTGACATTTAAATTCTAACTTAAACTGCCCTCTTCAGTTGTGACATTTAAATTCAAAATTCAACTGGCCCACTTCAGTTGTGACATTTATGGCGCATTTCCACTACACGGCCTCACTCGGCCTCGCTCGGTATGGCTAGGCCTCGTTAGGCCTTGTTAGGACTGGCTCACTTTATGGCGCATTGCCATTACAGTTTAGGGATTGGTGTAGTATCTATAGAAACGCAGTGTAGGTGGAGCCGTGACGTCATCTTCAATGAGAACCCCAGAAGAACAACATCAGCCTTTAGCTGTTAGCACTCAAGCTCACAGCTCCTCATATCTGTTCAGAAACTAGACAAAAGTTAAACAAGTACAAACCACAGACTGTCTGTGTCGTGGCGAATACAGTCGCTGGTTTATTTATGTCTGTATAGGCCGTTGTTGTGAGTATGGACGGTCGGAGCATATACAACGTTAGCTTAGCCAATCTCCATTCAGAAAACACGCATTTTAAAAGGTTTTTCGCCTGCCGTCTGTCTGCAGACTTGTCAAAGCATTAATTCATGGTTTTTACTAACCGGTATCAGTATGTTGTTACTTCGGCATCATTTTGAAACGTGTATTACAATTAAATCACGGTCAAATATGTTCATCTTGTTGTAGTTGTAGCCCCCTTGCCAGCGATTCTCTCTGACCATTCAGCAGTCAAGTGTTTACGTCACTAGCTTAGCATATTCAGCCCGGTTGTTGACCCAGTAAGACCCTCGATTTTGGAGGGCCAGAAAAAAGGTGAAAAAGTAGCCCTGAGCCGGAACTACCCCTAGTGAAAAAGCAAAAAAAGCGGGCCGGGCTTACACCGTGCTACGTGCTGCAGTGGCAAAGTGCCATTCAATTATAACTTCAACTGGCCGACTTCAGTTGTGACATTTAAATCCAACTTCAACTGGCCCACTTCAGTAGTGACATTTAAATTCTAACTTCAACTGGCCCACTTCAGTTGTAACATTTACATTCTAACTTCAACTGGCCCGCTTCAGTTGTGACATTTAAATTCTAACTTCAACTGGCCCACTTCAGTTGTAACATTTACATTCTAACTAGGGCCGGGACTCGATTAAAAAAATTAATCTAATTAATTAGAGGCTTTGTAATTAATTAATCGAAATTAATCGCATTTTTAATCGCATATACATATTTGACCTAAGAACAGTGAGAAGCAATTTTTTTTCACATGGATTTTAGTATACCATTAGGCGCATTCACACCGCAGTACTTTTCCCACAAAAGTTCATGAGAATTTAGTTCATGAGAACTCTTTGAATCTGGGGGTGGATTAGGCAAATGAAGCCGCTGACGTCACTTCTTCTTCTTCTGCTTTGGGTTTACTAGCAGGCCGCAAACCACTTCACGGCGTATACTGCCGCCCAAAGTCCCCGGCCGGAAGTCCCCGGAGTTGGGGACTGGCTTCAGTAGAAGCTGCTGGGAGTCCCAGCAGCCTTCCGAGTAAATCGCCAGAACGCCGACACCTCCTCATCTCCACCGCTTCCATGTTTTATTTTGTGTTGCCATAAGTTAGTCTCTCTGCGTTTCTGCGCTGGGCTAATGCTAATAATGCTAATGCGAGGATAATAAAATGGCGGCTTCACAAAACTTTTTGCGAGTTTTACGGGGCGTGGTTTGCAATCCGCCCAGCCAATCAGAAATATAGCTCTTTTCTCACAAGAGAGCCGTACGAAAGTCCCTGCTCTCTAGCAGCTCTCTGCTCTCTAGCAGGGACTTTCGTGGGGGTAAAAAGGTTCTCATGAACTAATTTTAGTACCGGCTCTTTTTGGTGTGAAATAGATAAAAGAGGCTAACGTCCACGCTAGCTTCCACGCTAGCTGCTATATGTTTTGCATTGAGGTGATACTTGAGGCTTGATGTGCTGCGGTGATATGCGAATTCCTTTTTGCATAATTTGCACACAACCGTGCTCTTATCGACGCTTCCACCCGTCCGTTTTTTAAACAACATTTCCCACTGTTGTTCACTGTGGTTTGTTGTTGTCTGAAGTCATGAACGTTAGTTGGTGCTCCAGTATAATCGGTACGCCTGAAACTCATCCAGTGAGAAACGTTCCGCGGTGCAAAAATAAGTGCGATTAAAATGCGTTAATTTTTTTAACGCGTTAATTTTTGTGTAATTAATTAATCTTAATTAACGCGTTAAAGTCCCGGCCCTAATTCTAACTTCAACTGTCCCACTTCAGTTATAACATTTAAATTCTAACTTCAACTGTCCCACTTCAGTTGTGACATTTAAATTGTAACTTCAACTGCACTTCAGTTGTGACATTAAACTTCAACTGGCCACTTCAGTTGTAACATTTAAAGTCTAACTTCAACTGCCCACTTCAGTTGGTTTTAGTAAAGCACAGTCAAAACAAAACCAATTTGAGAGAACTTACCAAGGAGAAACCCAGCTCTGGAGCTTTCTCCCTCTCAACCAGTGCTTTTATGCTGTACACAGGGACAAAAAAAACAAAGACACCTCCTTCATACCCATATATGTGGGAAAAGGTCATGGCCTCTGGTGTGCAGGACTGGACATGTCCAGACATAGGCTGCATCTCACTTCGGTTAAATTAAATCCTTGCGTCGTTTCCCTGCGTTTAGTCCCTCCCACCAGGGAAGACGCAAGGAAACCACGAGAAGCAGGGGGTGCGTTTCACTTTCACTATTTTTCATTTCCTCGCTCCTCGGTCTCGGTATCACCGGAAGTTGATTTGTCTGCGCCATCTTGAGTACCGTCCCAGTGGCCTTATTTGTGCCGGAGGACCGAGGATGGAGGAGCGATAACGGAGGAGTGATAATCGAGGAACTACTAGACCATCCTCCGGTGAAATCCTCAGACACTCGCCCGCCCCCTTACTGTGTATCGCTCACTGATTGGACGATGCAGCGCAGGAATCCATTTAACCGAAGTGAAACGCACCCACGGAAATTAGTTAAAATTGATTCCTTGCGTCCCTCACTTGCGTTGTTTCCCTGCGACTAGTCCCTCCCACCAGGGAAGCATGGAGAGACGCAAGGAAACCAGCAGAAGCAGGGAAATTAGTTTTAAGAGCAATGGGACGTCCTTTCCTCCGGAGCGTCACGTGAAGCGACGTCCGTTTGTGATGACTCCGCATAGCTGATCGTCTGACAGCAGCCAGCTCTGTCCCCGTTATTTTCACAAACACCCCCGCCACACATTTACAGACATAGAAAATGAATGGGTATGAGTGTATTATGTTCATCCTGCAGATGGAAAACATCTATACACACACACACACACCCACCCACCCACACACACACACACACACACACCACACACACACACACACACACACACACACACACACACACACACACACACACACACACACACACACACACACACACACATCACACACACACACACACACACACACACACACACACACACACACACACACACACACACACACATATACCATGTATACATCACTTCAGGGGACATTACATTGACTTACATGCATTTCCTGGAGACTTATCCTAACCTTAACCATAACCAACACATGCCTAACCCTAACCCTTACCCTTAACCTTACCCTAACCCTAATCCTAAAACTAACCAAGTCTTCACCCTAAAATGAATGATTCCCCTCATGGGGACCTCCATTTTGTCCCCATAAGGGAGGCGAGTCCCCACACGTGACTATGTAAACAGATTTAGGTCGCCACAAGTATAGTAATGCTAGGCCACACACACATATACACACACACACACACTACGAGAACCTCTCAATTTCTCGCGCTGTATGATACAATGTATCATACCTTCTCACAGGTGCGAGCTCTGTGCCCCTAGAGAAACACAAACCTCGCGCTAAATGCGCCTCCCTTACTGGCTCTCAAGCAGTTATATTTGTGCCTTGCTCACATTTGACTCATTGACACAATGAGCAGGCGACCGATTAGGCTATTTTCTGTACGAGGGCCTCTGGACACATTTTTGAACCAGATGAAGAGGAGATAAGAGGAAGATATCTCAGAAATTGAAGACAACAGCGATCCAGACTATGAGCCTACAACAGACCAGGGGGGTATACTACGAAGCAGGATTTTCGCTTAGCCGGCTAAATTCAGGGAAAACTCCGGCTTTCCGGTCCTACGAAGCTGGTTCTCTTTTTAGCAGGCTGGATCTCCATGGTAACTTATGCTTAGCGGCTAACCTGGTCGGGACCAGGTTAGGTTGCAGGCTAAGAGCTCAACTCAGTGAAAGCACTGCCTGCTGACCAATCAGAGCTCAGTGTGCGGAGTTTAAAGCGATCAAGTCATATTACAGGAGAAAGGAAATACAGAAAAGCTGCCGATGCAGGAAAGACGGACGGCAAAAATCACTGACTGTGTGAACGTGAACATTAATAGAATATCACCTCCCATCTTCAGAGCAATCTGACTATTATAACATTAGCGTTAAGAAAGCTTACTTAAATATCTGCCACAACATAAGTAACCGGATCAGAGTAACATTAAGTAGCCTACAGTCCGCGGCATATCACTTCATAATGTATCATATATTTTCTTATCTCAGTCAGCTGAGCCGTATTTGGCCGTGCAACACTCACAGTGTCACATACTGTATGCAAAAGTATTATTTTGAGCAACACATTAAGTTGACGAAACACTCGAGACAAATGTAATTAACGTCAGATCCACTCGTGTTTTAGACGGGGCAGTGATATCATAAACCTGTTAATGTATGCATTCAAACACTTTTTCTTTTACCAGCTATATTCACCTTGCAGGTGCAGCTATGTGGCTTTTATCCTGGATAAAGTGTTTAGTCATGGATGTTTAAAGTTTAACTTCTTCATATGTCTAATATTATTGTTGACTTTTCATTCAGGAAGTATGACGCTGCGCTGTCAGTATGCTTCTCCATGTTTGTGATTGGTCGAATGCTCCAAATACCACCCCTTTCATGTGAACGCGCACCTAACTAGATAGGACACGGCTGGTTTGAGCGATCCACTTGATAACCCACGTCGTAGTACCGTTTAGCGAGAGCGCGTATGTTTTGGATTAGGCCAACCGGCTAACTCAAACATATCCAGGTTAGGTTGAACCAGCTTCGTAGTACAGGCCCCAGGAAGAGGCCCCTGAGATAGAGGCCCATGAGGGAGAGGAGGGAGAGGCCCCTGAGGGAGAGGCCCCTGAGGGAGAGGCCCCTGAGATAGAAGCCACTGAGGGAGAGGAGCCTGAGGTGACATTCCACAATTTTGCATTGCCAACCATGTGCGTGAACACACGTGAGCACACACACACGCACGCACGCACGCACGTACGCGCGCGCGCACGCACGCACACACACACACACACACACACACACACACACACACACACACACACACACACACACACACACACACACACACACACACACACACACACACACACACACACACACACACACACACACACACACACACACACACACACACACACACACACACACACACAGGTTATGTTATGGTATATTGCATGTTCATTGAAGAAAACAGTATCAGTGTCTTATTTTATATTCATCACAGTGAATGCTGAACTTGATGGGCCCACCGGTGGGTCCGGACCATGACATGAAACACTGGCTTGCTTGTATCAAATCAATACATCCCATACATCATTGGAACGGGAAGAATCTCAGCTACAACACTAAATAAATAATTTCCATAAATGTAAAACAGTAAACACAGCCTACATGGCAAGCATTTTTATAATATACAGTAATGTAAAATAAGCACTATCTTTGAACTTACTGCCAAATATAATATGAAATTCACCCCTGGTGTCATTCTGTCTATCATCTCTTGATTCTACTTGCTTTGACTGTTCAAATAAGATGTCAACCATCACAATTGGATAAGGGGTTCCAGAGGTATCACTGTGCAAAACACACCGGTCAATTTTGACCGAAAATAGCATGGGAAGGGGGGTAAGACCTAACGCCTAACACAAGAGAAGGGTTAAGTGCTTTGACAAGAAATCCATAAAAAAATGTCATCTGTGGAAGCCGTAGTACTGTAAAAAGCACAACCAATCATTTTAGCCGGCCCGGCTAAAATAACTGGATGGCCTACCTGCCTCTCAGCCTTCCATCTGTGCACAAACTTATCTTGTGCCCTCATTGGTCATGTTCGTATGTGTTGGAGGAGGGGCTCTGTAAGGAAGTAGCAGATTTCTTCCGGCTGTGTATTTTCAAATTCTAGCGCACTCGAGCTGGTTTCTCCAAAATGACCTACCCCACCTTTAAATGTTTCCATCTTAAGCTTTGTTAGTTAGTTTCGTAACGGACGTAATGTAACAGTTTTAACGGTTGTAGCTTTTTCTCAGAAGTGGGGGGGATACTGACTTGTGAACTACAATTCTACCCGTGATATACACTCATTATATCACGGCTAAGAACCAATCAGATTGATTGATTTGACTTATCCGTTTTATAATTGATTATATTAACTTTCGTTTTAATTATTCAATTTAATATGGAGACCTCAACATTACTTAGATGTATTTCCATGATAATCCTTTAAGTGTCAATCAATTTTTTTCCTTTTTAAGTTGGTATTGGTAGGAACCATCAATACAGTACTGTTTGAATGACACAAAACAAATGTTTTTCTTAATACCTTCATGCTAACTTATAACTTATATTACTGAACATTATGCTAATACATATATATTATAACTGTGTTTAATGTGGGACACCTTTTTGTAATTGCTGATTTAAATTTGTGACGATATTTTAATGCTTCTTCTATTTTACATGATTTTTGAATGAAAAATTCAGCAGTTGGTTAATGGTAGAATTCCTGACATATCAATTATCCAAAAGAAAATGCAATTTAAGACACATTTGTTATAGTTCTTTTAGCATGATTGAGAAAAGAGACAGAAATAATCCCGCCCTAACCTCTTACACTGCCACATCCTTTTCGTTTGTGTGCAGAAATACCAGCGGAGGAGGAAGTTCTCCCTGTGCGCTGTGTTTCACAGTGCATGCATGCTTCAAGTGCCGGGCGAGCCTATCCAGTTTGAGGTCAGCATTGGTAACTATGGTAACAAGCTGGACTCCACCTGCAAGCCCCTGTCATCGACCACCCAGTACAGCTACGCTGTGTTTGATGGTATGAAAAGAAGAAGTCTGCAAGAATAATACAAGATAAATGACTCAATTTCACAATTGATGGTGTTTTTGTTCAGAAGAATGAACATGCATTACATTACACAATATTTCAACCCTGGTTAATGTCATTAGCCTACTTATTGAAAGTTAAATAAAATAAATAAATATATATTATTATTAGAACTTTGCTGTAACAGTGAATAATGTACATTTCTGAAGTTCAAAAGGGCTTGGAGCTCTGAGGGTTAAACTGTTTATCATGCTGTAAATGTGTTTAAACCGGGATTATGGAGCCAATGAGACATGGACTCCACATGTTAGTTAGTGGTCCACTCCAGTACTTAGCCGCGTTCACACCGCATACTTTGCAGTACTTTGCAGTACTTAGCATAGATATATATATAAACACTAGATGACTCACCCGTGCTGCTGGCCAATGGAGACCGACGTTGCCACATGGCGGCCATCTTGCCACAGGCAGCTCGCTCATTCATAACATTATGTCATTATGTTATAAACATCAAAGATGTAGTTATGATACTGCATACTTATCATTATAATCATGATCTTTTTTTTTCGACATGTCTTGTTGTCTTCTGTATCATAGCCATGCTAATAACGTTTATAATAAACCAAACCGTTTGTAAATCAGTCAAGATTTCAGCGAGTTAAGAGTATTTTTGTGCAGATTACTCACCTTAAAACAGCTGTTGCAGTAGTTGTTGACTGTGGCAAGATGGCCGCCGGTGAGCTACGCTGGCGACTCCCCCTTGAGCCATCTAGTGTTTATATATATCTATGGTACCTAGTGCCGGTGTTGTGCCGTAGGTTGAAGCCTTGCCGTAGATTGAAGCCCTGTTCGCGAGGACGCGCAAAGGTGACGTCATCGCCTGTATTGAGCGTTCGTCTAGTTTAATAAGCTTTTCTCTCTCTTTTGAATGATATATTTCCCATCAGATTAAACAGCAAACGGCTGAATAAATAATGTGCATACAATTGCGAGGAGGCTCGTTTTAAGGACACTTTTCAGATCTGTCACAATCTTCGTATTGGAACAAACTTCCGTATTTAAGTGTAGTCCCACTCTGTTATGTTCCTCCTTCCTACAGAACGGACAATGACAGGATAATATGTCATTTGTCTGTATATTCCTATTTCTTAAAACCTTCGCTATTGTTTAAGTGTCTGATACTTGATAACCACGATTAGTAAGCAATTATATGACAGTAATGATATAACATATATGATAATGTCAGACAATGTGTTATTTTCATAACACCGGCACTAAGTACTGCAAAGTACGCGGTGTGAACGCGGCTTAGCAGGCACTAAAAATGGGGGTAAAAGTTCCCGGTACTAAGTACTCTTTTTGGTGTGAACGCAACATAAGGGGTACTAACGGAACTAAAGGGGGAAAGTACGGGGAAAAGTACTCCGGTGTGAACGTGGCTCTTGTGTTTAAAATGACTGGGTGTATTTATTTGGTATTCCACAGGTAATCACTACTATTACCTGCCCTGGGCTGACACTAAGCCTGTTGTGATTCTCACTTCATTCTGGGAGGACGTCAGTCACCGTCTGGACTCTGCCAATTTACTCCTCTTCATCGCTGAGAGACTGGTACGAATAAGTCACGGTGGCAAATATTGTTCATGTCTACACAGGCAGTACTTCTCAGTAATATCCTTTTATCTGTGATTTATTTTAGGAGTCCCACCTTACCTCTTTAAAAACAGCCATCTTAGCCAAAGAGTCTGAAACACGTCTGGCAGAGATTTGTCTCAAACTCATCAACCATATGATTGAGGATCTGAACAGGTAAGACAGGACCAGACAGACCCTGGACCTGTGTGTTGTATCAAGTTATGCTTTATTGCAGCTTATCATAAGGGAAACTAGTGTGGTCATTGTTTTCATGTCAAATACATTTGCAGGTAGATGTTTTGGTGGAGTTATGAGGTATATTGTTTTAAGACCTGTCCATATAACTATTATTAACTTTTTGGATGATACTTTTTCCCAGAAACAATTTCAATAAAGAACATTATTGTCATTTTAGGACCATTTCAGGCTACTGGTGTAATTTTACAATAGCATCATAATGCATGAAATATGTATGTAGAAAAATGTAAAATATAAAACATAAAACAACACATTAATTAGGCTCTGAGCTATTATAATTATCAAACATTTGGGCAGGGGGTATATGGCCATTCACCCTTAACAATAATAAGGGCAATATATTGCCAATCCAGTTATTCAGAGGTTACAACCTTTGTTAACAGAAAGTGCAAAGTAACATCATATTAGCTATACAGTACATTATATATAAGTAAGAACAACAACACTCTTTATCTTGAACCGCATAAACTGCAGACAAAAAGGTCAGTAACGTCAAAAATATTGATGCCATGTCCGTTTCCTTTATGATACATCAATTGTGTTATTATTGGGAAAGGCTTAACTGTTTTACCTTGTTATTTTCTTTAAACATTAATCTTATTCACCAATTTTTGACAGTTTCCAGCTCCCAGTGCTGGAGGGCCAGCCCAATGTGACTGTACTGGATCTCCAGTTGAAAAAGCTGCGAGACGCTGCTGTGGACGCCATCAGAGAGATGGCCAATCGCATGAGAGGGGAGGCCACGAATGTCAAGGACACTGTTGGTGACATCGAGGACTGGTTGGAAAAAATCAAGCAGCTGGCAGAGGAGGTCAGGAAAAGCATAAATATGAAGTTATTTAAAAAGTAATTGAGACGTTATCATGTAACTTAAATGTTGTGTGTCTTAATCAGCCTCAGAACAGCATGCCTGATGTGATCATCTGGATGTTAAGAGGAGAGAAGCGAGTGGCTTTTGCTCGAGTCCCAGCAAACCAGATCCTGTACTCTGACTTTAGTGAACAGGCGCGTGGCAAGCACTGTGGACGGACTCAGACCATTTTCATGCAGGTACAGAATAATGTATTTATTTCTAAATTGATATTTTACTGGTAATGTTCAGAAAGAGTGCACACCTTTTGTATTTGTTTCTTTGTCAGTACCCCATGGACAAAAACAAAGGGGAGAAGGTCCCTGTTCAGCTACGGGTTAACATGTGGCTCGGCCTCTCTGCTCATGAGAAGAAGTTCAACAGCTTCTCAGAGGGAAACTTCAGCGTCTATGCTGAAATGGTAAAGTAGCTACACTATAAATAAGCTTTTTTATATACATATACGTTTAATCTGATATCAGTTGTGTTATCTCTGACTTTTTTCCGCAGTATGAGAACCAAGCCCATGTTTTAGGGAAGTGGGGAACTACCGGTCTGGTTGGTCGCCATAAGTTCTCAGATGTGACTGGAAAGGTGAAACTCAAACGAGAACGCTTTCTGCCCCCCCGTGGATGGGAATGGGAGGAGGACTGGTTTGTTGACCCTGAGCGATGGTAAGTCAATGAAACACACCATATCACACACACACACACACACATTCCTTTGTGATTAATTACTTGTAAAGTCTCAAAAACAAACATCCTGTTATCACTGTAGCTGAACACACTACATAATCCTGTTCATATTTCTGCTCTATTATCTATTCATTGTCAGTGATCATTAATCAGTGCTTGTACCAGCCATAATCACACAATCACAGGAAATAAAAAGGTAATTGGGAATCTGCCAGGGTTTGTTTTTGTTTAAGGAGGTATCTCTCTTAGTGCCTAGTTCTTTGCTTACATTCTCCCATCAAGGCTCATGTAAACAATTTGAGCTCTCTGATGCCTAACTTCCTGAGCTGCTCCACTCAGATGGTCACAGTCATACATAGCTACTGCCTGAGTCACAAAGCCTCTCATTAACCTTTGTGGGGTTTTCTACAGCCTGTTGACAGAAGCAGACGCTGGACACACAGAGTTCACAGATGAGGTTTTTCAGAACGAAACACGTTTCCCTGGTGGAGATTGGAAGCCCGCTGCAGAGCCCTACACAGACGTGGTACAACCTATTGCTCACACACACACACACACACACACACACACACACACACACACACACACACACACACACACACACACACACACACACACACACACACACACACACACACACACACACACATACACACACACACACACACACACACACGCACACACACACACACACACACACACACACATACACACACACACACACACACATACCATGTATACATCACTTCAGGGGACATTACATTGACTTACATGCATTTCCTGGAGACTTATCCTAAACTTAACCATAACCAACACATGCCTAACCCTAACCCTTACCCTTAACCTTACCCTAACCCTAATCCTAAACCTAACCAAGTCTTCACCCTAAAATTAATGATTCCCCTCATGGGGAACTCCAATTTGTCCCCATAAGGGAGGCGTAAACAGATTTAGGTCCCCACAAGTATAGTAATGCTAGGACACACACACACACATACACTAGATCAGAGGCCTGTACTACGAAGCTGGTTCAACCTAACCTGGATATGTTTGAGTTAGCCGGTTGGCCTAATCCAAAACATATGCGCTCTCGCTAAACTGTACTACGACGCGGGTTATCAAGTGGATCGCTCAAGCCAGCCGTGTCCTATCTAGTTAGGTGCGCGTTCACATGAAAGGGGTGGCATTTGGAGCATTCGAACAATCACAAACATGGAGAAGCGTACTGACAGCGCAGCGCGTCATACTTCCTGAATGAAAAGTCAACAATAATATTAGACATATGAAGAAGTTAAACTTTAAACATCCATGACTAAACACTTTATCCAGGATAAAAGCCACAAGGTGAATACAGCTGGTAAAAGAAAAAGTGTTTGAATGCGTATTAACAGGTTTATGATATCACTGCCCCGTCTAAGACACGAGTGGATCTGACTTTAATTACATTTGACTCGAGTGTTTCGTCAACTTAATGTGTTGCTTAAAATAATACTTCTGCATACAGTATGTGACACTGTGAGTGTTGCACGGCCAAATACGGCTCAGCTGACTGAGATAAGGAAATATATGATACATTATGATGTGATATGCCGCGGACTGTAGGCCTACTTAATGTTACTCTGATCCGGTTACTTATGTTGTGGCAGATATTTCGGTGATTTTTGCCGGCCGTCTTTCCTGCAACGGCAGCTTTTCTGTATTTCCTTTCTCCTGTAATATGACTTGTTTGCTTTAAACTCCGCACACTGAGCTCTGATTGGTCAGCAGGCAGTGCTTTCACTGAGTTGATCTCTTAGCCTGCAACCTAACCTGCTCCGGGGCAGGTTAGCCGCTCAGCATAAGTTACCATGGAGATCTAGCCTGCTAAAAAGAGAACCAGCATCGTAGGACCGGAAACCCAGAGTTTTCCCTGAAGTTAGCCGGCTAAGCGAAAATCCTGCTTCGTAGTACAGGGCTCTGGGGTGTCAAACTCAAATACACAGTGGGCCAAAATAAAGAAATGGGTACTAGCCGGACTGGTTCAATGTTTATTGCATATTTTTTTTAATTAACTTATTGCACATATTAAACCTGGAACTAACAAAGCTTAAATTATTGCCTATAAAAACAACATTAAATAATCAGTTGCATTCATTTCTTATGTCTCTATCGTCTCTATCTTGGCATCTCATCTTGGGTGCAAGTTCATCAATGTTTGGGTTCAGGCTCTGAGCGGAGGAGATCCTCAGGATTGAGTGAAGGTGTGCGTGCAATATACCGGCGGGCCAGATCTAATAGTAATTAAAAATTATCCTGCGGGCCGAAATTAAATCCACCAAGGGCCTGATTTGGCCCCCGGGCCTTGAGTTTGACACATGTGCTCTATGATGTCCCCTGTCCCCCTGTAAGTACGTACCCATCCCCCATGGGAATCACACCTGGCACACACACACACACGCACGCACGCACGCACGCACGCACGCACGCACGCACACACACACACACACACACACACACACACACACACACACACACACACACACACACACACACACACACAACACACACACACACACACACACACACACACACACACACACACACACACACACACACACACACACACACACCACACACAGAGAACAATTTGATACATTTCCCATGATATGCCCATCCCCCCACATGGATCACACCTGGCACACGCAATACATGTTCAGTGTCTATTCTTTGTATATTTACTGCAGTTTTTCATTTATACCAGTAGTCTGATACACTATGTACAGTTTGAAAGGGTGTTAAATGAGATTTGGAGATGATGAATGTTTTTTGTGTTAATGTAATAGCAGTTAAAACAGGACTGGTCAAATTTGACCGTGAACACCAAAGTAAGGGGGGGAAAAAGAAGACAATAGGAGGGTTAAATGACTGTAACATCAACCGGCTCAGTTAATTACAGCGTTTTGCGTTATTTAGCAAAACAGCCAGCAATGTTACTGTTTTGATTCACTTTTCATTCCAGACACAGCAATAGCATATGTGGGGGAAACTTCTGTGTAGTAATGCAGTGGGAGTCACCGACTCATGAAGGAGACACGGGAAGAGCAGGAGCTTTGATGTCAAACACTGATGGTTTATTTAGGAGGTTCGGCCGGAGGATTCACATCACAAGTGACAGCAGCCACGGTCTGACTGCACGGGAGAGTTGCCACGTCAATTCTGGAGCGCCTCTCTCTCGTTAGCCCATTTAACTGGTTTCGCAGAGAGTAATCAACATATTTGAGAAGATAGCCTAAACAGTTGGGAACACTGAGTTACTTGCGTCTGACACCTACAGTATGGCCTCGAAGATTTCACACCTTGGAGTCCACAAACACCGAGAAGGAAGTGTCCCAGTGTACCCACAACAATAAACCATCTGTGACCTAGGGTTGCCCGGTCATAGAATGGGAACAACAACATTATGGCTGAAGCAGCCTATCTCCTTAAAGGAGATAACAGACGTCAGGGTTGGTCATGCATGTCATATCTAGGAGTTTAGGACAATTATTTCCCTAACAGCATATACAATATCTGATTAACGCACAGAACTATACATTTGTAGCAACAAGTCGAACACACAAACCTAGCAACTACCTGTTGAACATAGTGGAACATTTAGCAACCTAACCAGAGTCTGGGTTTATCAATAGCTATACAGTACATACATGAATGACATTGGATCTGTGTTGTCTAGAATGGAGAAAAGGTTCAAAGCCCAGCAGAGTTTGAGTGTCCACCTGGATGGAAATGGGAGGATGACTGGAGCTTTGACAGCAACAAGGCTGTGGATGAGAGAGGTAACATCACTAACACTGACACATGTGATTTTCTTTTTAAAACGTTAGATTTAACTTGATCTGTGTATGTGTGTCTTTTGGCTCTAGGGTGGGAATACGGTGTTACTATTCCTCCCAATGACAAGCCCAAATCCTGGGTCGCAGCTGAGAAGATGTATCATATCCATCGCAGGAAGAGACTCATAAGACCACGGAAGAAGACATCTGATAAAAAGGCTGTTTCTGAGGTAAGAAAGAGGTATATGTGGATGAGAAAACGGGGTATATTTGAGAGATTTTTAAGCTCATTTTTTCTGTCCTTGTCTGTTTCATAGAGGCGAGACCCAGGAGAAGGCTGGGAATACTCTTCCCTGATTGGCTGGAAGTTCCACAGGAAGGAGCGCTCCTCTGACACATTTCGCCGCCGCCGCTGGAGAAGAAAGATGGTTCCCTCAGACTGCATCGGGTCCTCTGCCATCTTCAGGCTGGAAGGGGCATTAGTGAGTCCAGGGAGAAACATGACTAAACATGAGTTCCACATTTCCCCCCCACCAAGCAGTTGTCATGACAATATTTACTTTATGCCATCTGAGTCATATCCTCTGATTATTCTCCTGCATGTGCGTGTTCCTGTCCGATGTTGGCAAATCTTTCAGGAAGTTTAGTTCTGCATTCTTCCAATTTTTCTTAGATTTTGCAGAAATGTTTCCCTGAGTGTTCTTTTCAGCGCCTCACCCTGTGATTTGTTAACAGGGTGTTGATGTCGACGAGAAGGCCAGTAAAACGGATGCAGCAAAACTATTTGGTGCCAACACACCCACTGTTTCCTGCCACTTTAGCCGTAAGTAGTTGGTCCAGATAAAGTTAATTTCTGATCACTCGCTCATTGTTTCTTCAAAGCTCCTGATGCCAGATAACCTTGAATCAAGAACTAAGTGAAATCTGGATACATCCGCAGTGTGGCAGATGTTCTGTGTGATTAGATTAGTGGTAACGTAGTCATAAATGTTAAACATGCTGAAAAATGTTATCTCCCTTTTAGAGTCTTACCTCTACCATCTGAGAGTGTACGTGTACCAGGCGAGGAATCTCTGTGCCATGGACAATGACAGCTTCTCGGGTAAAGTCAAATCCTGGCCTGGACGAATACATGAAATCTACTCAGGATGTAAAATGTTGCTTTAATTCAATATTCAATTAAACATCACAAACTCCTGGTCCTCCCCAGATCCCTATGCACATGTGTCATTCCTCCATGTGAGTAAGACCACAGAAGTCATAAGGTCCACCCTGAACCCCACATGGGACCAGACTCTCATCTTTGAGGACATTGAGATCTACGGAGACCCACAAACTATTGCCCGCAACCCTCCTGATGTGGTGCTGGAGCTGTGTGACAGGGATCAAGTAGTATGTTGTATATTTTATCTGCCAAATCAAATCACATAAGCATACTAAGTTGTATGCAAAAAATGCATCTGAGATTCATGTATGATATAATCAGGCGTCACTAAGTGTTTGTGTGTCGTTGCACTTTATTTATAAAGGGTAAAGATGAACCCATGGGTCGCTGTAGGTGCCCCCCTGTGGTGAAGCTGAACCCCAGTGTGGCTGTCAGCCCTAAGCTGCTGTGGTTCCCGGTCAACAAAAAAGGTCGCAATGCCGGAGAGATACTGGTGGCTGCAGAGCTCATACTGAAGAACAAGGTAAAGAAGACACTGAAGAAACTGTTATTAACTCTATAAAACAGTACTTAGGTTATGCTTTTCTTTGCCTTCCAGGGGAATGACGGAGAAATGCCTCTGCTACCTCCTCGCCGGGGGGAGATGCTCTACATGGTTCCCCAGGGAATCAGGCCTGTAGTGCAGCTCACTGCGATCGAGGTACATTACGCCATCATGCTCCTTTGCCAGCACCTATAAATTCCCATCACAAACATTTCATGACCAGACAAGATCAGCCCAACCCTGAGATATCTGCTGTGGTTGCATTTCCTACCAATTTTTCCCTTTCCCCCTCTCACCTGTCTTTTACCACTATGGCAGCCTCTAATCTGCCCATGTTAATGTGTTTGTTTGATCCCAGGTCTTGACTTGGGGCTTGAGGAACATGATGACCTACCAGTTGGCCACAGTCACCTCTCCCAGTTTGATAGTTGAGTGTGGTGGAGAGATTGTGCAAACCGCTGTAATCAAGAACTTCAAAAAGAACCCCAACTTCCCCGGATCCGTGCTGCTCCTCAAAGTGGTACAGACCCTCAAACTCTCTGGAATATATATTCAGACATATGTAAAAGTTGCATGTCTACATTTTCAATATTTTCTCACATGGCTCGTTCTATTTTTTTCTCACCTTAGCTTCTTCCCAAAGAGGAGATGTACACCCCTCCCATCGTGCTGAAGGTAATCGACCACCGGCCTTTTGGCAGGAAACCGGTAGTGGGTCAGTGCACCATCGACTGCCTGGAGCAGTTCCGCTGTGATCCATATCGCATTAACAGTGAAGTCTGCATGTCTGCTAGAGGTACAGTATACACACACATGGCAGACATATACTCATCTCCTTATTTGAGGATTTTTGTTTTAGATGTGTTTGATGGGAGGCATCATTTTGTAACATAAAAAACATGGTTTTTTGCCATGCTGTTTTTCAATTGAAATAAACATTATGTCAACAATGCAAGAAGAACACTCTTTACAAAAATAAACAATGCATAAGTTAATTAAAAATCTGATTAAAATAGAAACATTACATACAATAATTAGTTAATTAATTAAATTATATATATATTTTTAATAATAATTACAGTAATACTGAAGACAGTGGAGTCTTATTGAATCCTGTTTTAATTGACTTGCAGTGGCTATGATAGCTGCTGCCCAGGGAGATGTTGTCATAGAAATTGATGAGAGACCTATCGTCAAAGCCGAGGTATGTAATAATGTACTCAAGATATGACAACATTTTCACTACTACGTCTTTCTTTTATTGATAAGTATTCTTTGTTTGCTTCCCACACTATGCAGCTTCATGCAGAAATGGTGAGTTTTTGTTTGTCCTATCACATTTTTAGAGATGTTATCTATCGGCAGATTAAGTGAATCATTATTTTCCCTTGTGTAGGACAAGGAAGCAGTAGACTGGTGGAGTAAGTTCTTTGCCTCTATTGGAGAGAAGGAGAAGTGTGCGCCTTACCTGAAAAAGGGATACGACAAATTACAGGTAAGAACACGTTGCACATTGCAAACACAATAATGATTTGAATCTTTCCCTGAATTCTTGTATGTGATTTTCTTACAGCAAGATATATCTGTGACCAGAAAGTCCTGCTTCTCATTCTTTTTGATAAGAGTTTTGTTTTTTCATTGGTATTTAGCTAAAAAAATATGCTGTACTCCGATACTGAAAAGAGCAGTTAGTAGTTAGTTATTTTAATGAAACAGAGTGCTGTTAAAACATGTAACAAAGGTGTGACGTATCGTTAGCTTGAGAGATCACAATATATGAAGTATGACTTAGTTTCTGTTCTTGTGTTGGTTTTCAGGTCTTTAACAGTGAGCTTGAAGAGGTTCAACAGTTCCAGGGACTCACTGATTTCTGCAGCACTTTCAAACTTCAGCGAGGAAAGACCGAGGATGAGGAAGATGACCCCTCTGTGGTGGGAGAGTTCAAGGTAAAGAAGCCCATTGGTACACATGGGTAAACACTGCTTTGGATGCTGTCCAGCTACTTTTCTCAGCCTTTGTCTGCCCTCTGGTGGATAATTTATGAAATGAAACAGTATTATTTATATCACCTTCTGATTGGTATGTCTGTGAGGGGATATTTAGCTTCAGTATGTAGTACCTCATTGATGTAACAATCTATAATTACCTTGTTAGGAATATGGTCTGAGGTTCCTGTGTGAATGTTATGAGCTTGTATAAGAGAGGTTATAGGACTAACAGGGCTGTCTTTTTTCGGGTATATACAGGGCTCATTCAAGATTTACCCTCTGTCGGATGACCCAGGGGTGCCAGCTCCACCCCGCCAGTTCAAAGAGCTTCCTGAGAGCGGACCGCAGGGCTGCCTTGTTAGAATTTATGTGGTGCGCTGTCTTGACCTGCAGCCTAAGGACACAAATGGCTTGGTGAGTATTAAATAAAGCTGGAACTAAACCACCATCTTGGTATAGTTACAAATAATTGAGTCACAACAGTCCTAGATGTATGAAGATGAAAGATCACTATAGTTACTTTTTTTCTCATTTTTCAGTGTGACCCATACATTAAGCTATCACTGGGAGGGAAAACACTAGATGACAGAGATCACTACAAACCAAACACCCTTCACCCAGAGTTTGGGAGGTGAGACAGTAATGAGTTCATCCTACTGACATTTTGTACATTTTGTATTTGTTCAAATGATTACTGCCAGTTTGAAGTTAGTCTAAGAACAGAAAGAAGCAGGCTATGCATCATTTGTCGTACATTTTTGACCAGGATGTTTGAGATGTCCTGCTTCATGCCTCAAGACAAGGACCTGAAGATTGCTGTGTATGACCATGACTTACTGAGCAGAGATGAAAAAGTGGGTGAGACGGTCATCGATCTGGAGAACAGACTCCTGTCTCGTTTCAGGCCCTGCTGTGGCCTGCCTCAGACCTACTGTGTGTAAGTATGTGCTGCTGCAGTACAGCATCTGCAGTACAGTGGATGTATCAAGACGTCGGCCAGGGAATTCTTTGATTTATTTTTGTTTCTTGAAGACAAAGCCATAACATCTATAATGTTGTTGCAGCTCAGGGATCAATCAGTGGAGAGACCAGCTGAAGCCGTCGCAGATCCTGCAGAACGTGGCCAGAGTGAGAGGCGTCCCTCCTCCACGCATCGAGGGAGATGGAAGCTCGCTCTCTTTCTCAGGAAAAGAATACCACCTGCACGATTTCGGTACTGCCATTGTCAAATACCGTAGAATTATACTGATATCTCAATGACTAAGTTTTGATATAGAAAATATCTGAGCAGAATGCTTTCCAACTAGTATGAAAGTACGCTGGAGTTGTATCTTGGCCTAAATATGAACCTGTATCTACTAAAGCACTGGGTTTCAAAGTCTAAGACTGGGCTTACCCTCAAACAAGTGAGTTAGTTTACTTCCTCAGTTTGCTGTATTGCTGAATGCATATTGGAACCACGTTATTTGATCCTTTAGACACAAAAATAATAATTAGGCCAGAAAACCAACAAAATGAATGATTTTGCACAGCACTCTTTTTGAGTGCTGTGCAAAATCATTCATTAGTTTCTAACTGTAGCAAATTACACACATTGAAGCTATTCTACCTTACTGTATGTGATTTTCTTTTAGCTATACTATAGTAACAACAAATTACATGTGTTCACTTCCATTCTCTGAGGCTCCCTTGAAACAGTTTGTAGTCCGCCTCACACTTTTGACCTTTGTTATACTTTACACTATACTTTCTTTCTTGACCTTTGTGATGTGATGTGCACTTTGCAGAGGCAAACACTGCGATCCATCCACATTTAGGCCCAGCCAGAGAGAGGCTGGCCCTGCATGTACTCAGAGCCCAGGGCTTGGCACCGGAGCACGTGGAGACCAGAACCCTGTACAGCTCCTACCAACCTAACCTGTCTCAGGTTAAAACATCCCGAATAACACTACATACATTTTTTTTTAAATTAGAGGTAGCAAAGATATATAAGTCATATATAATGCTTTTTAGAATAAACATTTTAGAATAAACATTTTTCCTAACCACAGGGACAGATTCAAATGTGGGTGGACATTTTCCCCAAGAGCCTTGGTTTGCCAGGTCCCCCATGTGATATCACTCCACGCAAAGCCAAGAAGTAAGGAACACTTGACTAAATATTGATTTATAAAAATGCATTTAAGGATAAAATATAACAATATTATTTTTAACAGGTACATGTTGCGAGCCATCATTTGGAACACAACAGATGTTACTCTGGACGAAACAAGCATAACTGGAGATAAAATGAGTGACATCTACGTTAAAGGGTAAATTACACGCAATACCCTATCCCTTCATTTATTTATACTTTTACCATCTACTGGACTCAGGATTACCATGTTTTTTAGATGGATGCTGGGTATGGAAGACAACAAGCAGAAGACTGATGTACACTACAGATCTCTGGATGGGGATGGAAATTTCAACTGGAGGTATATCTTTGAGTTTGACTACCTGCCTGCAGAACAGCTGTGCGTGGTCTCGAAGAAAGTGAGTAAGATCCTGGAGCAGGAAAAAAGCATCACATGATTGTTGTGTCATATTTATATATTATTATTGTGTGCTGATGCAGGTAATTTTCTAAATAAAGTGTTTGTGTTTTTACAGGAACACTTTTGGAATCTGGACAAAACTGAATTTAGGATTCCTCCTAAATTGATCGTCCAGATATGGGACAATGACAAATTCTCCATGGATGACTACTTAGGTTAGCATTATGATTAACCCCACACAGAGGGAGGCCTAGATAGAGATGTACAAAAGAACAATAAAGGACTAATTATAACTTCCCATTAATATTTCTGTTACAGGTTCACTTGAACTGGATCTACTTAATCTGATCTCTCCTGCTAAGAGCCCAGAAAAGTGCAGCCTGAAGATGTTGCCTGGTATGGCAGGCTCAGTCTCCACGAAAAAAAACCTGCCCAACTCACTCTTCTCCCAGAAGTCTGTACGAGGCTGGTGGCCATGTGCTATCGAGCAGGATGGGAAACATGTGCTTGGTGTATGTTTATGTCCTCTGCACATTCCATAGTAAAAAAAAAAATCCTGGATACTTTTTAAGATTTTGTTTTCAAACTCCACAGGGGAAGGTAGAGATGACACTGGAAATAGTGGAGGGGAAGGAGATGGAGGAGAGACCTGCTGGGAAAGGCCGAGATGAACCAAACATGAGTCCCAAACTGGATCCACCCAAGTAATAAATCAGAGTCCTTTAAACATAAATAAATTATGAGTTTGTTGTTCTATGAATTGTTTAATGTTAACTAATGTTGCTGTCGTTCTCCATTCAACAGCCGGCCTGACACGTCATTCTTCTGGTTTATAAACCCTTGCAAGACCATGAAGTTCATCATTTGGCGCAGATTCAAATGTATTTTCATTGCAGCGATTCTTCTTCTGCTGGTTTTGTTGTTCCTTGGGATCCTGTTATACTCCCTTCCTGTAAGATTTATTGGTTTACTAACTAATTTACTGATTTGAATAATTCTAAAATTTAAATCATGTTTTTTTCCCCATCAAACATCATTCCTATGGATTTTTTATTCTGATAGACTTAAATATGTTTTATATATCCACAGAACTACATCTCAATGAAGATCGTGAAGCCTTTCGCCTAAGGAGCACTGCAGAGAAGCTGTCTGTCTCGCTGCTGCAGAAACCACAGTCCTATTTACTGTCACTGACCCTCAGAAATATGCACTTACGCAGCATGATATCTAGCATTTTACTCACACATAACCACAACCAATGTATTTGCACTCTCATTATTGCTTACAGTATTTTTGTTTTGCCAATCATTTCTCATGTTCACATTTAGACCAAAAAAAACCAATAATGTCTATAATTATGTATTTTTAATAAACTGTGTTTTAAACAAATTGTTAATATTTTTGTTATATTTTGCACACATTTGCAATGAATGAAGCTATGGAAATGATCTATCTAATTGTATAAGAATATTAACATAGGAAATTCCGATACTGTTATCAACATTAAGTAATATCAAAACTAAGCACACATTTGGTTTATAATAGGATATTTACATATCAACATTGTAGTTCACTAGACCTAATTAAAATACTCCAAAGACATTCCTCTGTCTTGCAAAATGTAACTGTTACATGTTGCAATAAAGAGAACATGGAATAGCAACCAACAAAAAAAGCTCAGTAAAAAATAATTTATCTCAACGTCATACATACCCCAAAAGTAATACAATATAATTAATTTGTACCTATTGTGGCTATTTGTTCTTACTTTTCTCTACTACATGACATCAATATTTACTTAACGGTAAAGCCAGTTGCTAGGATACCGACTCGTGATCCCGCCTCTTGCTCCATAAAACATGTCCTGATTGGTCGTGATGCTCCTGCCGTAAAGGTGCAGCAGCTGCCTGGAACAACGAAGTGAAAGTAAACCAAAAACCGGATCAAAACATTTGGAGTGTTATGTGGTCCGGGAGAAGTGGCTGGACATTATAATAAATACATAATTATGTATTGCTTCTAAGACCGATGTCTTACACAAGGAGCGGAATGCATGTGAGTTGTATCTCTTTGTTTTACTGGACCCACTACTGCTAGCTTGATCAGGTTGAATTGCGTTAGCACTACAGCTAATCTATAGCCAATCAAAGCTAAGTTAGCCAAAGGTGACTTGTTTTTTTGTTCTGTAAAATTAGTTTACTTCGACGTTGTAAGATACTAACCAGATCCATTGTAAAGAAATCAATAATAGCCAAATAACTACTTTGAACAGTGACGGTTATGTTGAAAGCATACTGTTGTTTATGGTTGGTTAGCTAGCTAATTGTAGCAGTGTTTTCTTAGCGTTTAAACAAAATGACTGTCAGACAACTGACGACAAGGCTAAAGGCTAAATGGTCGCAGAGATTAAGATATAAAGGTGGGACAACAACTCTCCTCATAACCTGAGAAAGTGGAGCAAACACACAAACAAACTCACCGCCTTAAGTTTTCCCTGCTGTTCGTACCAACGGTTTAAGTGTAGCTTCCGTCTGAAACCAGACTGTTTGTGAGGTTCGTTTAGACCTGCAAATTGGCAGTATATAGCTATATCCTAGTTTTTGCATGCATGTCAAAAGCTTGTCAACATGAGTTATTTTCTTTCTCAAGCAGCTATTGAGATCTATAATTCGTCTTGTCTGACCTGTTGAATATGGACGAAGGGATGGATTCTCAAACAAGGTAAGGATTAGTTAAGATAAGGATCTATGTGTGTTCAAGCTTTTCATTCAAGGCTGAACACATGCTAATGCCTTGTATGATTTTCACTAAGTATGTTTTTAAGTAGGAAAATGGATATGCACAGAATGTACTTTTAAACGTTGAACTCTTGAAAAGGGAAGTTGCATAATTTAGATCTTAAGTATACATATTGTAAATTGAGTTTGCTAAAAAGACCCAAGACCTTGTCTCACTTTGTTATCTCTCTGTCCTGCTGCAGTGTGACTGCTGAAGTCCAACCAGAGGGTCCTAAGAATGATGTCCCAAACACAAACTTGACAGATGGAAAAGATGAACTCTTTTGTGGACCACAAAAGACTGACACTTCAAAAGACTGTGCACAAATGGAGAACTCGCAAGATGGCGTAGCATCTCAGACTTCAATGGACTGTGGCTCAGCAAGTGGGCTCGATGAATCCACCCCTGTAGACAGCGGGTGTCACTCAACTCAATCGCACTATTCTGATGGACAGAAATCTAAGAGGTCCACCTCACCTGGTCCTCACCCGGTTAAAACAACCTGTGTTTCTGCACACTCACCAAATCCAAAACTCACCCTCCCTCTTAGTAGTAGTCCCATGAAAGGTGTCAGTACACCAAGTGATGTTGAGATGCTGAGCCCAAATAGCCCTATCTGTAAAACCATACTTGTCAACAGCTCTGCAGAGAAGCTTCACGATGGCAGTGCTTGTGCAGAGGACTCTAGCTCCGCGAAGGAATCGCAGCAGTGTGTCAAAGACTCTGATTCTGAATGTTCTGTCAAAGAAAACCCCAATCCGGTTTCCACTGGAACTGAGGATGCTAAGATAGCTGGAAGCCAGTCAGATGAACCTTCCAAAAGGTACTTCTATTTATTACCTTTTTATTTTTCTGATTAGTGAATCACCTTTCCTGTTGTGTCCTCGCTCTGCTGTGCTCACAATGTCCTTTACTAATTGTGTGTGGTATACTGACCTGTTCTCTTTTTGTTATTCACAGTGTGTCATTGGCATTTCCAAACATGGACAAGCAATGGATGGGGACACCCATAGATGAGCTGAACAGAATGCCCCGGTGTGCCCCTTCTCTGTCTCACCTAAAAGCAGTACCTGACCACACAGTCACAATCAGGGTGAGGAAACAGCCACTTGTATTATCTTTGTTCTTTGTTTATGGTATGTTGTGAAGAATACTGCAGTCATAAAATAAGTACATGCATGTCTGACTGGTCATTGTGTGCATTTGGTGTTTTAATAAGAGATAACAAGATAGGGAAACATGGGAGTGAGAGTGAAACCTTCCTCCATTATCCCCTCAGGGCTTCCTGTCAGTAAAGCTCCTATCACACTGTGTCCTCCACTGCATGTCCCAAAGGAACACTGTCTCATGGCTCTGTAGCTACTTCGTGCCTTACTATCAACCTATCACTGCCACCCAAGCTAGATTCTCTCCATTACCTCTTATATCACAAGAATGCTGGCATTTCTTATGAATGTTTTTAGAAAATCACATCTCTACATTAAAATCCGGACACCTAATTGTCATTTGTTTAGTCAGCCAGCAAAGGTACATATCATTTTAAGTAAAAACAAGTGTCAAACTTAAATTACCATTGTTTATGCATTTAGGTTGCATAAACAATAATGAAATAATTAACAGGGCAAAGTGACTGACCTCTTAATTTCACATCTACAATATCTATGTATTTATTCATATTCATGCATTCTATTTTAGTGATTATTAAAACTGTACATATTAGTATCATATATGTCAATTGTCTTGCTTTGTTTGTGAAATGTGTATCTCATGATTGATAGCTCGACTTCTACTGCAAACTGAATCTATCTACAGGTACAAATAAAGTAACCTAAACCTTAACGCCATAAGATTGAGAAGTTAATCAAATGTGATTTATTGTGTTTTTATATAAACTTTTTTTATATTTTGTTTTTCTCTTACATTTTGTTTCCGTTTCAGACGGATCTCCTCAGAGAGGGACAGGTCCCTGCTTCATACCCCAGCAAGTTCAAAGATGCGTGGGATGATATGTCCGTGAAGATGCCCTGCTCTGAGAAGAGTCTGTTTCCTATGGATGCTGAGGTATTAATGTCCGTCACAGCTGTGCAGGGTTTTTAAAACATGCCAGTCAGTGTACCTACTCGATGAATGTTGTAATCAAATCAAGTGTAATTTGTTATCTCATGTAGGGTGGAGGTGGTGTCCAAAGTCGGTGGGAGCTGATCCAAACTGCCTTACATGGAGGGTTCAAGAGCTCTCTGGATGTGAGGGTAAGACAACTGTGCTGAGCTGGATGCTGCCGAGTTAGGCTGAACATACTCTGTGTCTGCACTTAAACAGGTTGATATGCTAAGTTACTTTTATCCATAGTTTTGAAGTCTTCACTGAAACACCAAAGGTAAGGAAAGAGGCTAACTGCCTCTCCTTGCCACTCTATTGGCAAACATCCTCATTATGCATTTCATCCCTCATTATCTGATAAGAAGTAGAAGCGTTGGCTCCAGCAGTCACACACCTTTGTTCTGGCTCCTCCAACTCTCCATGATCACATACTATGTGTTCTAGTAAAGCTGACCTGTAGTCACTGCAGTGATAAGTGACTACAGAGAGAGATATGGGTGACATAAAGATTAATAGTAATGTAGTGAGGACACGATACAATTTCAAAACTATCTTTTTATATGTAGGCTTTGTTTTAATTGTAATTTTGTTTTAATTTGATTTAATGTTTATTTAAATAGGGACAGGTATGTGCATTTACCAAAACTATATGGAAGAAGTGCTATGTTATTATTTCAACATGCAGATACGGATACCTATACAGAATCTATTCCATTAACAACCACATGGTGGCAGACTTTGCAACAAATGTACACCCTGTGTTAAGAGAAGCCTTGTAACCTGACAACTGCTGGTCATTTCTGCCAGATAGTTTCTTATATTTAAGCATGGTCTTCTTTGGATAAATAACTGAATAAAATATGACTAATGAACTGTTTTTCTGGTTTACAGGATGCTATATTGAGATACAACATAGTCCATGCAAAGAAATGGGACTTCACTGCGCTCAACCTTCTTTGCACAGAGGTAAGCTTTCAAAACATGAATGTGAACTGCTTTTCGGGGTCTCAACACAAAACATTAAGTGGAAGGATTAAAAAGGTTTCCCTACAGCCTGCTGATCATAATGTATTGCCAACACATTTGTATAAAATGCATCTTTGCTGAACATAAAGCATATTGAATTAGAATACATTCTGAAGGTGGGAAAACATTTTTATTTGCTATTAAACAGGCTTTCATATGTGTCTTTTAAGAAAAATGAACACCTCTTCAGTGAAATGCAGCTCATTGTGTATCACCGCTCTGAAATGTAGCCCCTGTGAAATATTCTGGAGGTTTTGTTTAACTTAACATGATTTTAAATAAGTCTTAAAAAGGTACCTGACTGAAGCTAAAGACGATACTAAACTAGAGTTGCTATTGGAACAGGAGCCTGCTCTCCTCTGTTTGACTGCGAGCCCATCCGTGTGTTTCGTACCTGGGAGTCTCCTAGGAGCAAATACGCTTCACACAGTTAGGACAGATGAGCACAGAGCATGGCGGCAGCAGCTGTTGCAGGTGAACCTGGG